GTATAACTCCTTTCAGAAGCAAATAGATGAAGTTTTTTTTTCTTTAACGGATTACACGAGCCTTTAATGTTCATTCGACTAAAAACATTTATAATATCTTACTGACGTTAAATCATTTAAACTCACCATCATCATCTCTGTGAAAAATGTATTCACAATGACGCATTTATAATCAACACACGCTAATTACGTAATTGTCACAGCCAATCACAAGCACGCGCGGTCAGGTGGTACACATTCCCATCAGATCGTAACCAAATCATACGCATCGAAAGATACAATACAAACGTTGCATACTCAAATCCGCGGGGAGTAAGATTATAGGCAGATGCTTGGAAGGGTCAGAAATATAATAATAGGGGTTTTCCCCTTTTTTCTGGCGACAAAACTGAAACCTTTTGCAAAGAATAATGTTTACATTAACCACAATACTTGCAGTCAGAATGCAAACAAAAAACATACTCTGATAATTTATGTATTGTCCTTGAAACTGATTGGTCCACACCAGAGACAGCTTTCCATATGAAAAACCCTATTATTATATTTTGGTACTCGCAAAGAAGGCCTCATGATATAGGGTCAGAAATATGAACACCCTTAGATCATGCCAGTTACACAGTCCATGAATACTGCACTGGGTGTGGGCGGTTAATTGTTCAGACATGCCACGTACCGAATAGCAACATACTAAGAACGAGCAAATTCTTGTTACGGCACATCTGATTGCCCGAGTAACAACACAAGTAATAGGTATACAGCTTTATGATTGGCTGCTTGGCATTTATCTTAAGCTCATTAGTACATATCGGCACCGTAGATTAATTTAATAACTCGCGGTTTTCAAGAATTATACTGGGAACGGGGACCTTAACTTTTAACTCTGTGTACAATTATTCTTTAAGCTTCGTTATGTAATTTGCGTTGCACGCCACGTTATTAAGAAAGCACTTTTACATATCAGGACACATCCTACAAGTAAGTATTAAAATACAAAAAGCATGACTGTTACAACACCGTTTATTCGTAGCATTACATTATATAATATTGCATTATATAATAATGCAAAGTTGTATATCTCAATGGGTGCGAGTAGCCATGGCTTAAATTCAAACAGGTGGCACTGGGTAAATATACTCGACTCACACTCGCTTTTCTAAGAGCTGAGTTTAATTCCCTCTCTAATCAGAGGTAAACTCAGGTCATCATTCATCAAGGGTTCAAACAATCACCAACCATTTTGTGAGAAGTCAGTACATCAGTTGGTTGTCCTAAGGTACGCAAGGCCCCTGCCATGAGATTGTAGACTTTATGCGACTGGTTCCGGCCAGCGAATAGGGACGAGCCCGGGCACCCCAGTAAACATGCCAACGTTGGCCCAAAGTTGGATCCCTTGGTCCATGCTGACACCAACGTTGGGCCAACGTTGAGGTCTGAATTCTATGTTTACTGGGCCATTGCCCGTTTGAGTAGTTGGCCAACGTTGGGCCAACGTTGAGGCATGAATTCTACGTTTACTGGGCCATTGCCCGTTTGAGAAGTTGGCCAACGTTGGGCCAACGTTGAGGAATGAATTTATGTTTACTGGGCCATTGCCCGTTTGGGTAGTTGGCCAACGTTGAGCCAACATTGAGGCCTGAAATCTATGTTTACTGGGCCATTGCCCGTTTGAGTATTAGGGAGACGTGCAGGTTATTTTTTTTTTGCGGCTGTGGTCTCCAGTGCGATTTCGTATCACCCGACGTTTCTCGCCAGTTCAGTTCCTGAAGAAGCTCCCCGGCAATGTTGGGGGTGGGGGGGTGGGGCAACGTCGGACGTCGTGCCGAGCCGTTCACGGTGCCAACGTCAGGCCACTAATTTGGTGAGCCCGATTATTTTTGAATGGGCGTGCGTGGAATTATAATGCGGGTGGCAAGAAACGCAAAGTCGCTCGATCCCGTGTCCTCACGCGTGGGTTTCTCCTGCGGGTGGTCACAATCAGCCGTCGTCCTCTCTCACCCCAGAAGTTGCCTTTTCATCGAACACTACGGTAACCCTGCAAGACCGGGACTCCCCGAACACGCGTCCCAGCTATGAGGTATCGCTGTGTTGTGCATTACACCAAAACTAGAGCCCATCATGCAAATAACGTTAGCCGTATTATTCGTTTATACATGGCGCGATCTGTATTACTCAACGAAATACAATATAAACTTCGCTAGAAAGAGCACGGCTAATCTTTAAGCTAAGTAAAATATTGCAATACGGTAAAATATATTTGTAAAGCATATCAAAATTAAAATAACGTTTGCGTTTTTGTTCACGTATAAAATAATAAATTATAATGTTGTTACTTAATGGCCATTTGTTTACGTGTGGAAGTGCCCCGCTGAGTCTCAAGATCTCCTTGCACACGAGAGTCTTGCCCGCAAACTTTGACCAATTCCATAGAAAGCCACCCCTCCGGCCATGCATGCGATACAGATAACAAATCACAACGGGCACAGATGGGTGAACAGACTGCTTGCCGTAACTGCCTCCTTACAGGTGCATCACTGCATCGCTGCAGCGTCGCGTTCATTGAAATGACAACGCGCAGAGGGGCGTGCTGCTGCCGTTGCTCTCAGCCTTGTCTAGACGGCCAACTCATTGCACCGCACCGCACGTTGCAATGTGTTGGTCACGTGACAAGCACGCAAAGCACGATGGAAGTCGTGCCTTGCACGTGCCTTGCACGACTTCCATCGTGCTTTGGCAGCGGCGACAGCGCACTTCTGCCGCGTTGCGATTTGTATTTCAGCCCGCACGCATTCTCCTCCTTAGATAGTGTTTTTTTTAATGTACGTATGTAGGTACGTTTAACGTCTTTCGCAGCGTACGGAGCCAAAGGTGTGGCCGAGGCGAAAGTACAAAGAAATGAACGGAAGAAAAAAAAACGCGTTGGGTCTGAGCTCTGCGTTCTCACGCACGCGATCTCGTCGCGGTCCACCAACCCCCCCCCCCCCCCGCATCAATAACAAACCAAAAAATCTCCGGATCAAAGTCGCGCGCTATCCGCTCGGCGCGTACCGAGGCGGCTGTGATGACGCCGCTTCTGACACGCCAGCTCGTGGAATGAATGGGCCCCGCGGCTGCCGAGTCACGTTCATGCCGGCTGTGTGCCTTGAGCCATCTTATGCAACCGAAGAGGCTTGATCGATAGTTCCCACTGCTCGGCAGACAACCCCTGAAGCTGTGCCAAAGTGTCTCATCGTTCCCGAATCCGTGTCTGGCCCAGGGGCTCCCCCGCCTTACCCCTTCACGCACGGGGTGGTGAATGTTTTTTTTATCGTGAATTTTTTTTGTTCTTTCAAGACACATTTTGTTTTCCTTCCAGGTAAGCTTTCCATGTACGCCGCGTAGGATTCCGTGGTTGTGCTGCACGGTACTGCTCTACCGCCGGTGTTTGTTTTGTGGGTTGCACGGCGCGATGGTTTCTGACGTTTCGCAACCACAAGCTTGGAGCCTCTTCAGAAACCTCGTCAGAAACCGGCCTTTTCAGACGCCGGATTTTTTGTTTACTGAACAACTTTTTTTGCTTTACCAGGTAAGGCCCACTTCAGCTACGTAGCTCTTTCTCAGAAGCGACCTGCCACAAATGTTCGCTCAACGAAGTGGCTTATCCCGTGGAAATGTATTGCAGCCAAATGATCTCAGCGCATGGGGTTGATTCTGAATGTGGACGGGAAGACAGGAGGACCCGGAGAAAAATCTATACGACCACTGGGAGAGAGACACCCAAACTCCAAATAAACATCAGGCGTCAGGGTCTGGATCGAACCCACGACCTCCTGTATACCAGACGAGTTATTAACATATCGTCACCGTGACGCCAAATCCTCGAAAGCTCCCAGCACACGGTGCGAAACGTCGGACATCGTGCCAAAGGGTACACTGTGTCAACCGAAATCACAACGAAGAGCTTAGCTCTCCATCAGACTAAAACGACTGTTGAGACTGGCTTGGGAGAATGAGCTGGAATATCTGTAACAGAACATAAGTTCAAATCAGGGTCGTGGCTCAACTCATTCCATCGTCCTTCCCTTTGGGGCAGATAAAAAAAGGTCACCAACTTCTTGGGAATTCCAACGGTGGAAAGTTACGGAAAGGCTCGGCTCTGCCATTGGAATGTAGAATTCCCACCACCAGCTGAGCACAGGCAACAAAAAGGGACGCCGCTCCAGATACTCATTGGAGCATGGAGACCGTGGAAAAGCCAAAGAGTTCAGGGTCTTTAAACATCACACAGATGGCTCAGCACATTGCCAAGCCCTGCACGCATTGCGCATTGACGTCTGTGAATGCTTAAATACTGGCACATTACCCCACAACCGTTCACTTTAATTTCTCTGCATATTGGACATGCCCGTATGGTTAGCACAGTTGGCTACGAATGGTGCGACAGAATTTCAACATACATACATACGAGCATATCCTCTGTGCAGGAGAAATGATAGAACAAATGTTGGCGAAACGTGGGTGTCCACTGGATAGAGAATGCTGTCCGTGATCTTGCAGTGGGCCCACACCTAAGCGATTGATTGCGACACTTGGTTGCGTGCAACTCAATTGCTTGGTTGCGTGCAACTCAATTGCTTGGTTGCGTGCAATAGAGTCGCTTGTTTGTGTGCAAATGAATTGCTCGATTGCGTGCGACTGAATCGCTCGGTTGCATGCAAATGAATCGCTTGCTTGCGTGCAACTGAATCACTCGACTGCCTGCGACTGAATCGCTCTGCTGCGTGCAACTGAATTGCTTGGTTGGATGCGACCGAATCGCTCGACCACGTGCGACCGAATCGCTCGTGTGCGGACGCCGCTTGCAACTTATATGCGGACAGGCGGTTGCTCAGAGCGATGCGGCTTGCGCGAGCGCCCCCCCCCCCCCACCCCCCCCCCCCCCCCCCCCCCCCCCCCCCCCCCACTTATAAATGTCTTGTCATAACAATGTAAAGAATAACCAAAAAAAATCAATCACGAAAACGTCACGATCAGTAAGTTTTAATGGAAAATTCCACTTCAACCATGCCGTCTTAAAATAACGACGACGACGACGTCGTCATACCGCGAACACGTGAGCGTAAAGCCGGTTGCTTGTTGCTTTCCCCTCCCCGTACGCTAAGTGCTCGCATACATTCATCGCTGCTGAATTGCACACACAGAAGCCATGTGAAGAAAACCGTCGCGTGCAAACAACCCCCAGGACCTTACGACCGCCCCCCCCCCCTTTCAAGTTAGCTGCTGGGCCTTGAGCGTGAACGGCACGATCGGGCTGCCCTGCGTTCACGATATCGGACGTGCGTGCGTGCGTGCGGGAGCGCTTGCCCCAAACACCTCGGCAATCTCGTCTGAAATCGCCCGGTGCCCTGCTGCACCCCCAGCGGCCGCACGAGGCTGGCGCGCGCGCCGCCAGCCTGCGAGTTGGCGTTGTCCTGCCGACGTGGACGCGCGACGCTTCACGGTGGTCGCACTCTCGCCGCGTCGCCGCGTGGAGCGTTTTCCCCAGTTAAGTAATTTGCGAGCGATTTGTTCAAACTCGGCGCGTTTCATGAAACCGTGGCGCCCACCTCGGGGGGAGGCCCGCGCAGGTTTTTGTTTTTTTGTTGTCGTTGCCGCCGCTGTCGTTTTACGGGACAGAACGTCGCGGGATATTCAGCGTCCGCTTCCGAAGCAGACGGCGCGACACGTTGCGATCGACGCTCCCGCGGTATTAACCTGAGCCCCCGATGGGCTGCGGCCAAACAAAAAAGGTCACTTCCCCCCAGTGGCACCTCGCCCGCCCCGCACGTCCGATCGCCCGCTCTCTCACTCTCTCTCTCTCTCTCCGAGACCAACTCATCGTGAAATTCCGCTACGGCTTTCTCATATTTCAAGCGGGCGAATTTCTCTTTACCCCGGGTGGGTGTCACGCCAGGATACACGTTCGCATGTGTCGCGTACATTATTCTGGCCACAGTGGGGTCGAGCGGGCCCGCATCCGTAGAAGAGGTATGGCTCTTTCGATCTCCCTTGAGTGGCAGCCCAGCAAGAGAGTGCAGGGCTGACCCTTTGACCTTTACATAAGTTATATTTACAGTGTGTTTGTATGTTTATATACGTTCACACGTGCATGTTACCTTAAACTCTTCCGAACTGACGTTCCGACGTTTCCTAGTCAACACCCGAGCAGACGATGAACTGCGCGTGATGTTGCAAAGACATTTTTTTTTTTTGCAAAGTAATGACCTGACACTGACCCATCTAGTCCAAAGCATACATCGACAGAGAGAGAGAGTGAGAGACCACACGCAGACTGGCAAATGTAATCCTTCGTAGTAAACCAAGGAATGTGTGCGGTACAACGTCGAATATTCGATTCAATCGGGATGTAGGGAGAGGAGGGGGGGGTGAGGTGTTGGTGGATCGTATCGATAGGTTGGATGTGTGAACATCTACAGAACATAATCATAGTTTCAACTTGTAGCGAGAACACTATTAACTCGCTCTTGCACAGCGAGACCACCGCGGAGGCTTGAGGAACCACAGCCAAGCAGGAGGGAGGGCAGCAGCTGTGTGATGAGACAGTTGCCCAAGTTTTGCAGTCCTCTACGTATTAAGGTGTTTCCGGGCCAATTATAGTGTGCACAGATAGGTCGCTGGACGCAGATGAAGCGCAAAATTGCTTTAAACGTGGGGTGGGCGGGGGGATATGGTAAATTAACGGTGCGCTATTATGCGGTTTACAAAACAAGACGCCTCATCTAAACAAAACTTAAAAAAAATAAACAATCAAGGGGAACTAAAGAGCACTAACTCACATTTAACAGCTTAATAACTCTTGAAGAAGTAATCAATGAGTTAATTTAAAAAAGGTCTCTGTTTGGCATCCATGTTAACCAATTAATGCCTTCTTTCCGTATCTGTCTACTCACAAGAAATAAATAAAAAAATACACATCCCATCGGTCACACGGCCTTCTGGGAGCAGATCTCCCATCAACAGCATTTGGTTCAACAGATGAAAAACGTCTGGACCGGCTTTGACATTCAGTATCTCATCAGCAGAGCGAAGAGCCAGGCACCCGCTTTTGTAAGTAAAAGGCTTCCTCGTTGCGAAGCCAAACTCCGTCACACACGGCACAAAGCAATCGTAATGATAAGTGTGGTTACTTCATGCTAACCTAATAAAAGGGGGCAATCGTTATTCGCGGCGCTGCGTCTGCCTCTTGCTGTCGTGTTTCTTTCCGTTGCTTGGTTAGGGAAATGTTTTGCCCGCATTGGACGGGGAGGAGTGGGGGGATGGAGTGATTGGTCGGGGCGGACACGCGACGATCGAATATGCGACGTTGTACTCTGCTAAGTTACCGAGAAATGACAGCATCTGTCTCTCCCATACCACCCTCTACCCCTTACCCAAACAGAGTGTGAACTCTTTACAAAATCTTGATATACCTGCTTTTGAGAAAGAAAAAAAATGTGCTTTGCTATTTACAACGGGTGATTAATATTTATATAATAGAAAGTATTTTAAAAATATATAGGAATAATAATACACACCTCTTATTACAGCTTTATAAAAACAGAGACCAAAAAAATACAAAAAATACAAATAAAACGAATCTCATAGATCTTTCGTTGCTTTTATGCGACATCTCATGAACGTGTGATTACCATTGGACATTGTTCGTCGTATTTGTTTTAACTGTCGTACACATCGAGATATATGTTAGAAGGGTAATTGTGTTAGCATGAGAAAGGACTTGAAAAAACATGTTTGTTTTTCATTACCCGAGACGGAATGTTGATGTGTTTTTGTTCCCCCACCAAATTTCTCTCAACTGTCTCTACCAATCTGCAAAGAAAAGTGATGAGAACAAAATAAACACGTGAGCATCGGTAGAAATGTTACTGCATCATTAGCATTATCAGCATCTTCATTATAAGCAGCAGCAGCATCATCATATTGATCAGCAGCATCATCATCAGTATATTATTCTTCATCACCAGCAGTAGCATCTTCTTCATCATCAACATCATCAGCATCTTCATCATCATCAATAGCAGCATCAGCATCATCGTATTGATCAGCAGCATCATCATCAGTATGTTATTTTTCATCATCATCACCAGCAGCAGCATCTTCTTCATCATCAACAACAACATCAGCAGCAGCTATAACAGCAGAAGCAAATGTAGCATCATTATTATTATCAGTAATACGTTCAATACCACCAATGATATCGTGGTCTTCATCACCACCACCACCATCATCATCATTATCATCACCTTCCTTCCGACATTAGGAAGCCACTCGAGCTATCCAATATCATGTTATTTATGTAGTTGATTGTAAAAAATGATCGCTGTTACATTGCATTTATGGCTTTATTTTGGTGATTTCAAAAACGTTATTTGGTTTGACCATGTTTTTGTTTATTGTAGTACGGAGTTAGACTGATGGCCTTAATCTTAGTTGTCTTGTGGTTGTTGTTGTTGTTTGACTTGCATCCCACTGGGATTTTTGTACACAGCGTTGGTGTACAGTGCTATTTCAGGAATATTTAGATGTTTTTTTTCCTGGATTTTCTGTTTGCACTGTCACATAGTCACTTTAAGATGTTTTTCTTGTTCGTGTTTTTGTTTTTTTTGTTCGTTGCGGTTGCACCCGATTCAAGAGCCGAATGGCTCACAGGGCTATACCAAATAAATGGAACTATGAACTATCAAACCTAGATTGAAAACTCATTTCTTTAGAACGGCTTTTTTGTGTTTAGTGTGTTGTCCTTCCCTGCACCTCCAATTCGCACGGTTGGTTTCGTACGGTGTGAAAGAAGTTCAACACACATACATGAATCTGTCAGCAGTAGGGGGGGCGGGAGGGGGCGGGGGGATCATTTCTGTGTAACTTTCTAATTTAGCAAATTAGGACCACGTGGCCAGCTCGTTTCGAACGAGGTCGTGGGATCCTTGATGTCCAATGCGAAGCGTCACGTATGTGTTCGTTGAAGTTCTTTCACGCCGTACGTAGACAAGCCGTGCTGATCGTAAGGTGCGGGGGAGAAGGACAGCAGCACTAAAGAAATGAGTTTCAAAGTGAACGGCTCCAACGGGTTCCTGATATCAGAAGGAAGAGCGGTCCAGACGGCCGCAGAATCGCATCTGAACGCGCGCGATTTGCGGTGTTGACCGCCTTTGTCCGATGGCCAGCGCGAAAGCAGCGATAGCCGGGCGCGCCCGGCTGGATTTCGAACTCTCAAAACCCGACGCTCACCTTTGCACTTGTACTTCATGTCGGAGAAGTAGACGCTCTCCTGGGAGAAGACGAACAGGCCGAGGCGTCCCCCGGTGTACGTCTTGTCGTACAGGGGGCCCGAGTCGGCCATGATGTGCCTGCCCTCGTACATCACCACCCTGCGAGCAGAGACAGCCGCGGGCCGCCGCCGCAGGCACGTGAGCGCTCTCGCTCTCTCAGCGCCCCGGCCGTTGAAAACACGAAGTTGGAGCGAGCGCCGACAAGGGTCGCGCAACGCTCCCGGCCCTCCCGTGCAGCCGCCCAAACTCCGCTTTCGGGTGAAGTAGTAGCCGAGGCGGAACGGCGTCGCGCCCCCGTGGAGGGGAGCGGGTAAAGGCGCAGGAAGTGCAAATCTCCTTGCACCCGCGCCAATTCCCTGGCGCGGTGGAGCCTCCGCTCAGAAAGTGGTCCGGTAGATTTGCCCGTCTTGGGAGGTACCTTGGCCTACTCGTCCACGCCGGCCGGAGTGGCAGTGCTACCCACACTTTACCCCACCACACGCGACCGATTTTAGGCTGCAGGGCGACCAGTGGCGGTGGGCGGGCGGGCGGGCGAGGGGTGTGTGAAGGGTGTGGAGATTTGAAAAAGTGTCGCACCGCTGTTAAAAACTGCCGAGCCGAACCAGCGACCTCCCGATTGCAATTCCGCGACGCCACGACCGCTTCCCCGCACAGCAAATGCGCGTGTGTGTGCATGTGTGCGTGTGTGCGTGTGTGTGTGTGCATGTGTGCGTGTGTGTGTGTCAGTGTGTGTGGGGAGCGATAGTGTAGCGGTAAGCGCGCTGCGCTATGAACCTGGCGACTCGGGTTCGATTCCCGCTCACGGCCAACACCAGTGACGATTATCTGAACCGGTCCCGGGCCTCCCCTAGGTCGACTCAGCCTCAAATGAGTACCTGGTGCGGTGTGTAAACATTGCCACTAGGGAGACAAAGGCGGTCGGGCGTGGTGCTGGCCACCCACCCCCTCGTGTACCGTTCCGGCCTTCATAGGTGCTCGCTAACAGCACTTGCCCCTACAGTCTGTTAAGGCTATACGGGGGATCTTTGTGGGTGTGTGTGTGTGTGTGTATGACATCCGACAAAACTGCCCCGTTACGTCGTTCACGTAAGAGCAGGCACAAAAGCAGCGTCACCGAGGCTCACTAATGGGCAGGTTCCTGCCCGGCTTGCCCTGCTCACCTGATGAGTCCGGATTTGGGCCGGTGAGTCAGCTGCCACCTGTACGCCGTGTAATCCTTCCAGCCGATGGTTTTTGGGTCGTGCCACAGCAGACGAACCTGTAGCAACATCCACATCACAAACAGCCACATCAACTTACATCTAAAATAGCATAGTAGAAAGACAAGGATTCACCTCCACCCCCGTATAGCCTCAACAGACTGTTGGGGCAAGTGATGTTAGCGAGCAGCACCTATGAAGGCCGGCACGGCACACAAGGGGGTGGGGTGGCCAACACCACGCCTGGTCAGCGTTTGTCTCCCCAGTGGCGATGTTTACACACCGCCCCAGGTTCTCATTTGAGGCCGAGTCGACCTAGGGGAGGCCCAGGACCGGTTCAAATAATTGTCACTGGAGTTGGCCGTGAGCGGGAATCGAACTCGGGTCTGCCGGGTTTGTAGCGCGGCGTTTTAACCGCTGCACTTCCGCTCCCCATAGCACACGCACACACACACACACAAACCAACAATAACGACACACACGCACAACTGGTATGGTGCGAAAGAAGTTCAACGTACACACGTGCATCAATAACAACACAACGTGCGCGCAACACGCTTAAAGATACGCGTCCACGCGTGAAGATGAGTCTTCATAAATGTCAGCGTGGAGGAGTAGACCAAATAACCTGTCGAGATGCTCATTCGAGCTCCTTCTAGGGGAAAAGCCCATTCTGCCAGCTGTGGCTTGAGGAAGGAATTGCAAGGTTGCTCCTTAACCAAGCTGTGCTGGCGACTTCTGGACTCATAGGTTTTGTTCATGTTTAAATTGAGTTTATATATCAACTATAAACTATGTTTTCTTATTTTACCAGGTAAGGCTCACCTGAGCTGTGTAGCCCGTTCTCAGAAGCGACCTGGCTGTCACAAATGATAGCTCAGCGAAGTGGCTCATCGTCATCACGTGGAAATGGATTGCGGCCAAATACTTTAAACGCGTGATGTTGATTCTGATATGTGGAGGGAAAACCCGGAGGACCCTGAGAAAAATCCACGCGACCACGGGGAGAACGTGCAAACTCCAAATGTACAGGTGTCAGGGTCACAATCAAACTCACGCCCTCCTGCATACCAGGCGAGGTGGTTAACATCTCACCACCGTGGCGCCCCATATACATATATATCCGGAATATCTCTGTAGCTCCTTTTCACAACAGAGTTGCGGATCATAGTTGGGAATAATTTAGTATGGCTTGGCCCTGACATCCCTGAAGGATTTGTCTCACTAAATCTTTAAATGCCCCGCAGCCGTGCTCTGCCAAAGAGGCCCTTTGGAGCCCGTGCCCTCAAAGCCCACGCCGTGTCCCCCGATGATCCTGGCTAATCGCCTCTTCATGAGCCAACAACATCAGCGCCATCATCAATCGCCCCTCACTTCCTTGCAAATGAAAGAGCTTCTCCCAAACCACAGCCACCCCCAACTCCCCTCCCCACGAAACTCCAGATGATGCAGTACAAAACCTTTCACCCAACACCCAGATGGCCACATCACTCCATTATCCTCATATCCTGCACCAGCTCACAATCCAATAAACAGCTGATTCTAAAATTGTCATCCTCACCTTACTCCGGCCATCTCGCTCCACTTCCCTCCACGCACTCTCCTGCCTCTCCCCTCTCATCTCACTCCACTACCCTCCACTCACTCTCCTATCTCTTGTGCTGCATTGTATATTGCATTCAAATCATATACTGCATCAGATTGTGGATTCAGAAACGACCTGGCCACCTATGATAGCTCACCAGGTGCTGCGCGTGACACTGCCGATTGTAATTGTATTGTACACTGACCGTGCTGCGTGTGACACTGCCCATTCCGACCATACTGTTACACTTATGGGACTGCGTATGAGAACACCCATTGCGACCACACCGTTATCACACCACGTGTGCCACTGCTCATTGTGACCGTACCATTATCACACCACGTGTGACACTGCTCACTGTGACCGTACCGTTATCACACCACGTGTGACACTGCTCACTGTGACCGTACCGTTATCACACCACGTGTGACACTGCCCATTGTGACCGTACCGTTATCACACCACGTGTGACACTGCTCACTGTGACCGTACCGTTATCACACCACGTGTGACACTGCCCATTGTGAACGCACCGTTATCACACCACGTGTGACACTGCTCACTGTGACCGTACCATTATCACACCACGTGTGACACTGCTCATTGTGACCGTACCGTTATCACACCACGTGTGACACTGCTCACTGTGACCGTACCGTTATCACACCACGTGTGACACTGCCCATTGTGACCGTACCGTTATCACACCACGTGTGACACTGCTCACTGTGACCGTACCGTTATCACACCACGTGTGACACTGCCCATTGTGAACGCACCGTTATCACACCACGTGTGACACTGCTCACTGTGACCGTACCGTTATCACACCACGTGTGACACTGCTCACTGTGACCGTACCGTTATCACACCACGTGTGACACTGCCCATTGTGAACGTACCGTTATCACACCACGTGTGACACTGCTCACTGTGACCGTACCATTATCACACCACGTGTGACACTGCTCATTGTGACCGTACCGTTATCACACCACGTGTGACACTGCTCACTGTGACCGTACCGTTATCACACCACGTGTGACACTGCTCACTGTGACCGTACCGTTATCACACCACGTGTGACACTGCCCATTGTGACCGTACCGTTATCACACCACGTGTGACACTGCTCACTGTGAACGCACCTGCCCGGGGGTGTTGCCGGTGTGCCAGAGGGCGTTGCGGAGGTGCTCGCCGGGCCCCGTCGTGGAGTTCACCACCTTGATCTGCAGGCCGGCGAAGCCCTGGGCGCGCGTGGGCGTGTCCTGCCAGTAGGACTGCGTGATCTGCTTCCACATGACCACGTAGAAGCGCGCGCTCGACTGGTAGCCGAACACGAAGCCCGCGTAGTCGTCGTCGCGGTCCGTGTTGATGTAGAACGTTCCGCTGAAGTCCACCGCGTTGAACTCGTCGTAGCCTGAGCGGTGCGGGCGGGCGAGAGAGGGAGGGGGGAGCGGTGGTGCAGCGGTTAGCGCGCTGCGCTACGAACTCGGTGGACCCCAGTTCGATTCCGGCTCACGGCCAACATCGGTGACGGTTATTTTAACCGGTTCTGGGCCTCCCCTAGGTCGACTCAGCCTCAAATGAGTACCTGGGGCGGTGTGTAAACATCGCCACTGGGGAGACAAAGGCGGCCGGGCGTGGTGTTGGCCACCCACCTCCTTGTGGCCGTGCCGGCCTTCATTGGTGCTCGCTAACAGCACTTGCCCCAATAGTCTGTTAAGACTATACGGGGGATCTTTGTCTTTGCTTGTACCACCTTTTGGTCAGTTCACTTTTCTATCATTAATTATTTTTTATGTTTTTATTACAGACCATATTCGGACTGTGGTCAGAGCGCTAAACTCTTAATCGCAGTTGAGATTATTTCCTCTTCAACTAAGTTCACCCCACCCCTCCCCCCCCCTCCTTCAGGATATTCAATAGTGCTGTTTGTTGCTGGCCGCTTAGCGTGTTGGGCCTCAGCGCATGTGCTTAGCAGCCATTGTCACGAAAAAACAACAACAACGCCATTCAATGGAAAGTTGATAACGGCCATTCTACCAAATCATCTCGACTGACGCCCGCCATAGGAATGTGGAATTTCCACCATTGGCTCAGGCGCACTGTCGGGAGTGAGCACTGCTCAACGTTTATTTGATCAAGTGGACGCTTCCCCTTGATTATAAACATCGCTGCTGACCCCAGCCACAGCCTCTTCCTTACTGAAGAGTAACTCGAGCTATGCAACGACCGATTAAAACGCAACTCTAACCGCCCGCGCGCACACACAAAGACAAAGACGTGCGCGCACACACATACACACACACACATAGACGCGTGTGCACACATACACGCACACACATACACGCACACACATAGACGCACGCGCACACACACACGCACAGACGCGCGCGCACACACATACACGCACACACATAGACGCGCGTGCACACATACACGCACACACATACACGCACACACATAGACGCGCGTGCACACATACACGCACACACGCGCGCACACACATACACGCACACACATAGACGCGCGTGCACACATACACGCACACACATACACGCACACACATAGACGCGCGTGCACACATACACGCACACACGCGCGCACACATGCACTACATTTGCGGCTTGAAGTGGCCTCTCTCAGAAGCAAACTATTTGTAACCCGCTCTTTTTCTCTTTTATATTCTCCGCTGCTAGCAAATAGCTCCCTTTGTTTTTGTTTGAGTGGAGCGGCACTGTCATGGTGAACATTTTATAGCTACGCGGAAAGAAGGAACCGTGCTGATCAACCCCACACGGCTGTGCACGGGCACGACGCTCCTCAGTGGCTGTCATCACCGATCTCCTTCACCCATTTGTTGAGGACTCGGTCTACTGGACTGACTGTTTCGTCTCGTCTGCACTGTGTTCATCCACCATCACATTGCAGTCACAACAACACACTCGGTTACCCCACTCACTGACTCACCAACTCACTCGCTCATTCAGCCACCCATCCATTCACTCAGACACCCACCTACTCACACCACCCACTCAGCTCACTCACCAGCCCACCCACCCACTCAATAACTCACCTATCCACCCACCTACCCCTCACTCACTCACCTACCCAGCGACCCACTCACTCACCAACCCACCCACTCACCTACTCACCTACCCCACTCACTGACTCACCAACTCACTCGCTCATTCAGCCACCCATCCACTCACTCACTCACTCAGCCACTCACCTACTCACCCACCAACTCACCCACCCACTCAGCTCACTCACCAGCCCACCCACCCACCCACTCAATAACTTACCTATCCACCCACCTACCCCTCACCCACTCACCTACCCAGCGACCCACTCACTCACCAACCCACCCACTCACCTACTCACCTACCCCACTTGCTGACTCACCAACTCACTCGCTCATTCAGCCACCCATCCACTCACTCACTCACTCAGCTACTCACCTACTCACCCACCAACTCACCCACCCACTCAGCTCACTCACCAGCCCACCCACCCACTCAATAACTCACCTATCCACCCACCTACCCCTCACTCACTCACCTACCCAGCGACCCACTCACCTACTCACTCACCCTGCTCACTCAAACAGCTCACTTACCAGCCCGCCCACTCAATGACTCACCTATTCACCCACCTACCCCTCACTGACTCACCTACCCAGCTACCCACTCACTCACCAACCCACCCACTCACCTACTCACTCACTCAACTCACTCACCAGCCCAGCCAGTCAATGACTCACCTATTCACCCACATATCCCTCACTCGCCCACTCAGTCACACACTCACTTCACCCACCCACTCATCCACTCACTCGCTCGGTCACCCACTCACCCACACACCCTCCCACCCACCCAACCATCACCCTGCAGGTCTCCAACACTTCAATTTACGCTTCCTCCATCACGCTGCTCCACTCTGGAACCCCCTGCCGTAGTCTCCTTCCCCCAAGCTCTCGTGATAATCTTGCCCAATTCAAGGGACACGTTCACTCTCATGGTTACAACGTTGGCAGTGCTGTTTGTTGCTGGCCCCATTGATGTATTTTAGGCCTTTGGGCCCTGTGGTCTGGCAATGTGTTAAAAAAAACAAAGAAAGTGATATATGTGTGTGATGCCAATGCCTTTCATGGGCTCAGCTGCTGAAAGTGGTGTTGCTGGTGTTGGTGGTGGTGGTTGTGGAGTAATTCATGCAGTCAGCTATGGCTCTAGGATTTGGTGTTACATGTTATTTATGTAGTTTATTGTAAAAACTCGGTCACAGTCCTTGTGATCACTGTTACGTTGCAATTATGGCTTTATTTTTTGGTGATTTGGAAAAGTTTTTTGGTTTGGACATGTTTGTTTTGTTGTAGTACGGAGTTAGACTGATGGCCTTAATCTAAGTTTTTGTGGTTGTTGTTGTTGTTTGACTTGCATCCCACTGGGATTTTTTGCACACAGCGTTGGTGTACGGTGCTTTTTTCAGGAATATTTTTGCTGTTTTTTTTCCATGGATTTTCTGTTTGCACAGTCACACATAGTCACTTTAAGATGTTTTTCTTGTTCGTGTTCTTGTTTTTTTGTTTGTTGTGGTTGCACCCGATTCAAGAGACGAATGGCTCACAGGGCTATACCAAAATAAACTGAACTGAACTGGTGTTGTTGGTGATAATGACGACGGTGGTGATGGCAGGGATGGAGGTGATGGCGGTGGTGTTGGTGGCAGTGGTGGCCATTTTGGAGGTGGTGATGGTTGTATTGGTGGGGACAGTGGTGGTGGTGATGAAGGTGGTGGTGGTGGTATTGGTGGTGGCAGTGGTGATGGTGGCATTGGTGTTGGTGGTGATGGTAGCTGTGGTGAGAGCGGTGGTGTTGATAGCGCCGGTGGTGTTGACGGTGCCGGTGGTGTTGGTGGTGATGGCGGTGTTAGTGTTGATGGCGGTGTTGGTGGTGACGGCGGTGGTCGTAGGGATGGCAGAGTGCGTCCTGTGGGCACGCTGACAATGAGGGAGTGGCAAGAACGAGAGAGCAAACCCCAGATCCCGCGTCTGGCACCAAGAGGCCCTGAGGCCACGCAGCGGCAGCAGCGGCAGCAACAACGCCACGCCGACGAGGGGGAAAATAATCGCGCTTGTGTTCGTCAACGCGTTGTTTTTAAAATTATTAAAATATATATACGTGTTCCTTGCTCATATCCTGGCTTGGGACAAACAAAGAACTGGCAATAAGAGGTGCACGCGCTGCTCCGTCAGCCGCCAGCGAGCACTGTCGCGTTTCCCCCGAACAAACAGGGGGTCAGCTCGGTCCGTCGGGCTACGCGGGGCGGCCAAAAACCCGCGGGACGGAACGCCGCGGCCGTCTCACTGGGAGAGACTTGGCCTTGTCGAAGGAGCGTGGAATTTCCACCACTGGTTCATTGAGCAGGGGAGACGCTTTGAGTCGGTGGTGGGGCTGGATTTTGTTTTTGGCGGAAGGCGCGGTGGGGGGGGGGGGGGGGGTACGCTAAGGTGGAAATCATTTTAAAAAATCCATTCGTAAAAAGTGATCAAATCCTCGTAGAGATGACAGAAGAATTATAGGCAAAAGATATATACACGTTTCACGTTAATTAGTTTAACAAGGCGAGGATAACCCAAGAGAACAGGACAGAGTCGCATTTGAAACGGTCACCTGGGACACCAGTCTGATTGTGCGGTGTATAATCCCAATTGAGTAAGTGGCCGGTCATTTTCTAAATTTGACAAGTATAGTGAGATGAGTGCATAGAGATGAAGGCAATATAGATATGGGAGAGATGAACTTATTAGGACTTGAATTTGAGAAGATATTTGATAAACCCCTATTTACTTCATGAATCTCGGGGCCCCTTGAGCTAATTGGGATCCTAAGCTTTTGCTAGATTTGCGTATGCCTAGTGCCACCAATGCTTTGGTTTGGAACTCGTCAACATCAGGAATGCTTCACGCACACACACATACACATGTGCAAAGACAAGAGACCCCCCCTCCCCAACGTATAGCCTTAACAGACTGTTGGAGCAAGTGCTGTTAGCGAGCACCTATCAAAGCCGGCACACCGCACGAGGGTGTGTGCGGCTAGGACCACGCCCGGCCGCCTTTGTCTCCCCAGTACTAATGTTTACACACCGCACCAGGTACTCATACGAGGTTGAGTCAACCTAAGGGAGGCCCAGGACTGGTTAAGATATTCGTCACTGTTATTGGTCGTGAGCGAGAATGGAACTTAGGTCATGGAGTTCGTAGCACTGTGCGCTAATCGCTACTCTACGACTCTGCACAGCACTACACACGCGCATATGCACACACACAGACCATACACTCAACCGCCAATCGCCGCCATGTGGCGGTGACGTCACCACGACGCTTGTGCCAGGTCATGTGCATCTTGAGGCCACGTGAAATGTCGAATGCCCGCTGGCAGGAGGTCACGGGGCAGACCCAGGTGCCTCGGGTCGACTGACTGAGACGACTGAGATGACTGGCTGATGCACCACCTGTGCCCCCCTACTGTTCCAACTTGCTGTGCTTTAGCCACCCGGCGCTCCGCTCGTTGTTGTGAGCGTCGCTCCTCCGCCCTCCGTTGTTGTTGGAGGGCGACTGCCTCCAACTGCCCAGTAGCGTCCTTCACGAGCCTCCACCACTGAGGCCGATCTTGACACCGCTGGTACCAGTCATCGGCAAGTTCACTCAGCTCCACGTCCTCCTGTACCACATCACTCCATCTCTTCTCTAGCCCGTGCCGAACCCGTTTTGCCCCCTCGATCCGACCGAACAAAAGCTGTTTAGGCATGCGGTGGCTGGGCATGCGGGCTACATCACCCAGCCAACGTAGCCTTGCCTGCCGGAGGAGCTCATCGATGGGACTTTGCCCACATCTTTCAAGGATTTGTGAGCTCCTCACACAATTCAGCCTGGTTAAACCCAGGCCAGCCTAAATGTTTCTAACCGGCGAAGACGCTCCATTAGTGGGGGTCCACGTTTCGCAAGCGTAGAGAAGGGAGGGAATGACCGTGGCCGAGAAGACCATACACACACAAACACACAAACATACGCACGCGTACACGCACATGCGCACGCATCGCACGTACCAATGGCGAGCCCCGGGTCGCAGTTGACCTCCTGCACGAGCTCCTTGCCCTGGTGGCGCACCACCCAGTTGGGGTCGATCTGCGAGGTGCCCGTGGGGTCGAGCGGCACCATCTGGAAGCGCTGGAAGTCCGTGCTGGTGATGGCGAAGTTTTCCGGGCACACGTCCTCGGTATCCGTCACGTTGTCGTTGTCAAAGTCGGACCAGCAGATGTCCCCGCGGCCGTCACCTGGGGACGGGACACGGCAAACGCGTCAAGTTTCAAGTTTCATTTATTAGGTATAGCCCTGTGAGCCATGCGGCTCGTGAGTCGGGTGCTAAACGGGGGAGCAACGCTGCTCTGCGCTCAAGGTCAAAAGGTCGAAGCGCGACAGCACCACGTCGCAAAAAAAACGCTATCTGCCCGTCCGCCAAATCCCGCAGCTGTTGCCGCACGGTTGCCTCCGTACGGCGTGAAAGACAAAGATCCCCCATATAGCCTTAACAGACTGTTGGGGCAAGTGCTGCTAGCGAGCACCTATGAAGGCCAGCAAGGCACACGAAGGGGTGGGTGGCCAACACCACGCCCGGTCGCCTTTGTTTCCCTAGTGGGGATGTTTACACACAGCACGAGGTTCTTATTTGAGGCTGAGTCGACCTAGGGGAGGCCCGAGACCTGTTCAAATAATCGTTTCTGGTGCGGGCCGTGAGCGAGAATCGAACTCGGGTAGCCGGGTTTGTAGCGCAGCGTAGCGCTAACCGCTGTACTGCTCCTCCCCAGTTCAACACGCGTACGTACACACACGCGTACACACACGCGTGCACACACGCGTACACACATGCGTACACACATGCGTGCACACACGCGTACACACATGCGTACACACACGCGTACACACATGCGTACACACACGCGTACACACACGCGTGCACACACGCGTACACACATGCGTACACACACGCGTGCACACACGCGTACACACATGCGTACACACACGCGTACACACACGCGTGCACACATGCGTACACACATGCGTACACACATGCGTACACACACGCGTACACACACGCGTACACACATGCGTACACACACGCGTACACACATGCGTACACACACGCGTACACACATGCGTACGTACACACATGCGTACAGAGACAAGAACTTCCCTGACGGCATCCGACCATCTGCTGTTAGGTCATCCCGTCCCCTCGGTTGTCGGAATCGTGGCGACCACTCCGACGGCTGTCTTGCTAGCTGGCCCTCTGCCGTTCTCGCCGCACGTGTGTCCCACCAGTAGAAGATGTCTCGTCTGAGTTTTGCGACATTTTCCTGCCATGTTCCCTTCCGGACTTCTTTGCATTGCACATCCCGCCGCCTCTGCCATAACATTCCCGGCAATCCGTCTCGGACACCTGTGCTCAGACGCTTTATTTTGGAGCTGCTTACCGACGATATCCCCAAATTGGCGTGAACACAGGAACGCCGCCTTGCTATGTCGCTTAGAACACCGCGAGAGTCTAAAACGATCGTACACTCTCCGTACCCTCCGGTGTGAGCTCAGTCGCGGTTTTTGTCGTATTTGGTTGTTAACCCAGGGCTTCCTTCAAAAAAAGAGGCTCTCGGTCTTAAATAATAATTGATGATGATGATGACACGCATGTGTTTTAGTTTAGGATGTGTGAGTGGATCATTTGCCACATCCCTCACTTGAAAATGACCCAAATTTAAAACCACAAAAACTCATCCTTACGCAATGAACATCGCTCATGGGCTCTGAGCAAAATAAATAACGAATCTCTAGAGTCAGTCACTGGGTGTGCACGTGCATGCGTGTGTGCATGCATGCGCGTGTAAGTGTTGGCACCCCAGTACGTATTTATATATGTGCATGTATGTGCGTATTGAATGAGCGCAGAGTATTTGTTTTACACATATACATGGAGAGTGGTGGCGCAGTGATTAGAGCACTACACTACGGACCTGGGGACCCCAGTTCGATTCCCGCTCACGGCCACCACCGGTGACAATTGTCTGAAGCGGTTCTGCACCTCCCCTAGGTCGACTCAGCCTCAAATTAGTACTCGGAGCCGTGTGTAGTGAACATCGCCACTCGAGGTACAAAGGCAGCCAGGCGTGGTACTGGCCACTGACCTCCTTGTGTACCATGCTGGCCTTCATAGTTGCTACTCACTAACAGCACTTTCCCCAACAGTCTGTTGAGTCTATACGTGGGGGGGATCTCTTTCTTTGTTTGTGTGTGAACACGCATTGAAGACGCACCAAGAGGTCAGCCAACCGGAGTGAGATTTAAAGCAGTGTTGAGTCTATGGTGCAGTGCTGAGCCTATGGGTAGCAGTGTTGAGTGTACGGCCAGTGTTGATTCCATGGGCAGTGTTGAGTCTATGGGTAGTGTTAAGTTTACAGACAGTAAATATTTACTTAAAGCTTTCGTGATTGCAGGAATTAATATTCTTTGGGTCATTCGGTAAAGCCACGGAGATAGGTTCAAATAATATAACCAAAAACTTCGACGTTTCGATCGCTTGTGCTGCGATCGAAACGTCGCCGTTTCTTGTTATTTTCTTTGAACCTATCTACGTGACTTTACCGAAAGACCCAAAGAATATCTACGGGCAGTGTTGAGTCCATGGGGCAGTGGCTGCTCAATGCACAGGGGAGGTTTATTCCAGTGGAGGGGTGCGAGGAAGGAGAAGGACCCACCATGGGATTGAGCACAGGGATGTAACACGTGTGTGCGTAAAAACCGGAGCGCCCGGAGAAAAACCCACGCCTTGCACGGGGGGGTGGGGGGGGGGGGGGGGTGGGGGGGTGGTAACAGATGAACGCACACAGTTGAGGGGGGCGAGGGGGGGCGAGGGGGGCGAGGGGGGCGAGGGGGGGCGCATCGCCGCTGACCGTTGGAGTCGAGCTGGTCGGGGTTGGCGACGAGGCGGCAGTTGTCGCGCTCGTCTGGAACGCCGTCGTTGTCGTCGTCGTGGTCACAGGCGTCTCCGATGCCGTCGCCGTCGTGGTCGGCCTGGTTCGAGTTGGGGATGTACGGGCAGTTGTCGAGGTTGTTCTGGTGGCCGTCCTCGTCGATGTCCTCGTTGCTGTCGCACGTGTCGCCCACCAGGTCCGAGTCGGAATCGCGCTGCCGGCCAAGCCGAGGGTAAGCGTTGGTTGAGGTGGGTGGGTTGGGTGGTGGGGTGGGGTGGGTGGGGTGGGGTGAGTGGGTGGGTGGGGTGGGGTGGGTGTCGGGGTGGAGGGGGGATTACACAGAAATCAACAATCGCGTAATAGAAATAAAGGAGCAATTGTCAACGCGTTAAGTGATAAGTGAAACGGGTGCAGGGTTGCGAGGGAAAAAAAACACAGGGATGATGGGCTGAGTCAACCATTAAACAGGGATTCGAACCCGTGGCCTCCCGCTCGACCGATGAACCGCCTGGCCGGTGAGCTACGGAGCCGAACAACGTCGACTCATCTGTCGATAAACCGACGGCGAGTATGATGGAAGCTCGCCCGGAGCCAGCGCATGCGCAAACTCCGTCTCCGGCGTCGCCCGGACCCCTCACCTGGTCGGGGTTGTACTGCAGGGGACAGTTGTCGCACATGTCTCCCACGCCGTCCGTGTCGAAGTCGCGCTGGTCGCTGTTGTACACGTACGGGCAGTTGTCGCCCTCGTTGAGAACGCCTGCGAAGGGAGTCCCCCGTTATGCCGCTGCGCCGTCAGCCCTCCGACGGGGCCGGTTGTTGCTGGCCGCCTGTCGTTGTATGGACCCCCTGTGCCCAGCGACCCTTTTTTTTTCTTTTTTTTTAAACAAAGCCGAAAGCGGGAAACCCGAGTGGCCGCTCTTTGCAGTGAGAGGCGAATCGCCTTGTCTACGGAAGTGGCTGCAGTCTCCTCTGGAAACCAACGCCGGTGGTTTCTGACCATGCGGTTACTCGTTTTATGAACCCTGCACGCATGATGGGGCTGAATTGACTAAATTTGCCAAATTCGCTACATTACAACGCAAATTACTAATTTGGCCATCATTATCACCTACTGGCAAACTACTCCCCACTTTGTAGCAGCGAGAGGGGGGGTGGGGGGGAAGAGTCACATTGTGCCACGCAGGGACAGCTGCCACTGGTGGTGGGGGTGCCCTTCAAGTGCACTTAGAGTATTTGACCGCTAGAAAATTCCACGTGATAAGCCTACTTGATTGAGCTATTTTTTGTGATAGCCAGGTCGCTTCTGAAAATGCGCTACATAGCGCAGTGAGCCTTACCTGGTAAGATAAACAAAGTTTAGTTAGTTTAAATCTTGACTTAAAGCTCTCGTGACTGCAGGAATTAATACTTTTTGGGTCTTTCGGTAAAGTCACGTAGATAGAAAAATTATGAATAAAAAAACACACAAGTATCTATAATTTTTGTATCCACGTGACTTCAGTAAGTTTAGTTTATGTATGTTGAACTTCTTTCGCACCGTACGTATCCACCCGCGCCAATCGGAGGTGCCCCCCCCCGAGCATCCGGGGGAAACTCACTGTCTCCGTCGATGTCGGGCGAGCACGCGTCTCCCACGCCGTTGCGGTCCGTGTCGCGTTGGTCGGCATTGGGGCGTTCGGGGCAATTGTCGCAAAGGTCACCGACGGTGTCGCGGTCTCTGTCGTACTGCCGCGGGTTGAACAGCATCGGGCAGTTGTCCTGTGGCACGCACCGAAGGGAGCAGGGGTGGGGTGGGGGGGGGTTCGGCCTCGTTCGAGATCAAAGTTCGCCGCTTGTCTCCGTCGGTCTGGAACGCTAGGCCAGAGGGTGACCTGTGGTCTCTCTGCACGGATTATAAAGATGGGTTGTCCATTCGGAAGCCAATGGCTGGCGCCCTGAGAACGATTGTTTAAGGGCGCTTTACACAAAATGTGTTCCAGTTTTACCTACCACACAGAATCTACGACGGCCCTCGCCCTCCTCCCCAGCAGGATTGCGGGCGGGTCAATGAATCAATCGGGCGACGCGACCTTAGCTTGGCAACTCGCGCAGCAATTGCATCATTGCAAAAAAACCGTAAGCGCTCACGCGTGACGAAACGTCGCCTTGACGGTTATTCAAGGCCGGATGCGTAATAGAAAAAAAGGTTTTTCGGTGTCATCAAAAACGCATTTGAGAAATTTCCAAAACACGTCAATTATATATCTAACTCTCTCTCCCCGCCTTTGACGACACGAGCGGGAGGAAAAGAGCGCCGCGGGGTTTGACCGTATTCGCACGGTCACGCGCCGCGCAGACACCACACCGCCACCGTGACATAGGACGGCGCTTTGGGCAAGCTTCGCATGCATTGTACGTCGAGCGAGTTCAGAGCAGAGGTAATTACGGCTCACTCGGGGAGTCGAAGTACAATAACACAACGTGGGAGAGAGAGGGAGAGAGAGCGAGGGAGAGAAAGTCGACGTAATTGTAATCACATGTTCTCGTCGCGCTCAACCTCACTCCTAGATGTTTGGCCGTCGTGTAGCAACGTAAGTAAAGTCACACAATGCGAAATGTATCCTATGAGCGGCCAATGTTGATGCTTTTCCAGGCCCAGGGCTACCTGACCGAGTAGACGTCGCTTATAAATATATGCGCGGTAATTCTGTTTTACACTGAACGGCGGTCGCAAGGTTTACAATAAAATCTGGTAACCCAGCAGCATTTGCTTGACTCTGCTGATGAGACCCAGAAGGTTGAAACTAATCCAAGGTTTTCTTGCTGGAACAAATGCACCTGGATAATATGGGTCTGACTGACGGGCGAATGCACAGTTTATTGGCTACGTGAAGAGACAGAGAATGGAGTTTTGCTCATATTCACTTAAAGCGTATGCATCTCAAACCCTCACGGTTGTTTAAATGCAATGGGAACCGTGTATGCCGATTTCACACTCGTTAGGAGGAGTCATCAGCACCGGTAGATGAGCACACACTGTTACCCTCTCTTGACATTTGCTTGGGTCTCTGCCTACAACACAGCACAGCGCTCTTGTCCACACTGCGGGGGCATTTGTGTGGATAAATGTAAGCAGATGTATCGTCAAAAAAATGTAAGCTACGTAGCTCGGTCGGCATGCCCCCCGCCCCTCCCATCCAATCTTCCCCCCCCCCTTCGTAGCCTGGCGAGTCTCTATCCAGGAGGTGCATTTGCACCACCTGGTACACTTAACAGCTGGACCCTCCATGAGGTTAAACATCTGGGGAGGGGGTGGGGACTTCGAGGCCAATCCGTTTGGAAACCTCCACGTGCAGGCCAAACAGCAAAACAAATCCACGGTCATAGTCGCTCAGGTGAAAGAAAAAGATGTGGGCCAAGCCTGGTTGGCAAAACCCAAACCCCCCCCCGTGCACACCACACGGGAAACCTCATGCCAGAAAGGATGTTAGGAATTTATTACAAAACAAATCAATTTCGAGGGAGTTTACTCGGCATATATGAATGTGCAAACAAAGTAGAGAAATAATCGGTTGAAATGCGTACTTGGATACATGGATCAATGAATGAATGCTTGAATGAATGGATGATTTGAGTGCATAATTAATGATTCGATGAATGCGTGCGCAAACGAATGGACAAATCCATTGACACGTGAATAAGTGAATGCACCCATTCACTTATTCAGGTGTTGCAGGTGTCTTTTAGCCGCGCACAACAAAATATAAAGAACGTCGCATTGACGCCCACGACGCCAAGAGTGGCTGATTCCATGGCTCACAGCGCCGAGTTTGTCGATTGGGGCAACGGCTGCTTTGACATCATCAAGGTCGCACTCATTACACACGAAGTGCTTGCCACAAATGAACCGCAATACCTCGCTGGTCTCGTCAAGGAGCATAAACCACCATCATCAGGCGAACTGCGGTCATTCCTTGCTAAGCAGCTGCTTTTGGCTCGCCGACGAACAAAGGCGGTCACCGCATCGCACGGCGTTTTCAGATGCGCTTCTGCTGCCGTCTCGAACGCTCTTCCTTCTAATATCAGGAAACCACCGGAGGTCTGCGCTTATAAATCATCAAGATTGGAAACTAATTTTTTTACAACTGCTTTCTGTGTTTAGTTTGCTGTCCTTCCCCTGCACCTCCAATTACTACAATACACACTACACTACGCTATACACTATACTATTACACTAGTATACACGACACCACTATACTGTACTACATTGAAATCTAATTTCTTTAGAACTGCTCTGTGTGCTTCGTTCGTTGTCCTTCCGCCGCACCTCCAATTAGCACGCTTGGCTACGTACAGCGCGAGAGAAGTTCAACCATAACAACAACAACAACAACCGCCATTCGCCACTAAGTGGTGGTGACGTCACCACGGCGCTTGTGCCAGGCCATGTGCACCTTAAGGCCACGTGAAGTGTTGAACGCCCGCCGGCAGGAGGTCACGGAGCAGACCCAGGTGCCACGGGTCGACTTACGACTGGCTGATGCACCACCTGTGCCCCCCTACTGTGCCACTTGCTGTGCTTTAGCCACCCGGCGCTCCGCTCGTTGTTGTGAGCGTCGCTCCTCCGCCCTCCATTGTTGTTGGAGGGCGACTGCCTCCAACTGCCCAGTAGCGTCCTTCACGAGCCTCCTCCACAGAGGCCGATCTTGACACCGCTGGTACCAGTCCAGCAAGTCCACTCAGCTCCACATCCTCCTGTACCACATCACTCCATCCCTTCTTCAGCCCGTGCCGCGACCGTTTCGCCCCTTCGATCCGGCCGCATGTACACACACACGTACATCACGCATTGCTGGCGCACAGAGAGGAGAAGGAGGCACTCACCCTGTCATCGGGATATCCATCATTGTCGTCGTCGTTGTCGCAGGCGTCGCCAAAGCCGTCCTTGTCGTGGTCCTCCTGCCCGGAGTTGGGCAGTTCAGGACAGTTGTCCTGTGGACACAACGGGGGCGGGGCAGGGGGCACACATGGTGCGTGGTTGTGGTGGTTGCGGTTGTTGTTGTGATTGTTGTGGTTGTTGTTGTTGTTGTGATTGTGCCTTTGCTCTGCTAGCGTGAGAAATACACGACGGACAATTCAATTTTCGAGAGTGCGACCCACGTTCAGGTCATGGTAAGGTCATGGTTGGTGTTATTTTTCGGGTGGGCATTCGGGTTGTGGTTAGAGTTAGGGTCAGGGATGAGGTTAAAATCAGGATTTAGTGCAGGCTAATGTTAGAGTTGGGGTTAAGGTCGGTTTTAGGGTTAGTGTTAGGATTAGAGTAATGGCTACAGACAGAGGTGGGGTTGTTATTCGGATTGTGTTGAGTGTTATGACCTAGATTAGGATCCAGTTCAGGATCAGCACTAAGCTCACGGTTAGTTTTCAGCGTGGGGGTTAAGTCTGATGCCACGGCTAGAGCCAGGACGATGGGATCAAAGCCAGGCTCGATCTTAAACCTCCCCGCTAGGGTCAGGCATGTGGGTCAAGGAGGTCGGTGTCAGAGGCCGGGTGTCCCTCACCGCCAAAAAAAAAATCCGCAGACTTCCTGCAAAAAAATCCGCAGACTACCTGCTGGATCTCCTCTCTGTTTCAAAGAACAAATTTGACCTCAGGTCTTCGCTCATTTACCAGCTTCACATTCCCTATTGCCGTGCAAAAACTGGAGGAAGGGCCTTTGCTATTGATGTCCCCAGGGTCTGGAATTCTATTGCCAATAAACTGCAACGTGAATCACTACCTATGAGATATGCACTTAAAACTGCTCGAGGAGTTGTACACCCCTAGTTGCCACTGCTATTCAGTGGTCTAAAATAAAATAAAATGTTTCGCTCTGGATGACTGCTGCAAAGTATTATCTGTATTTTGATTTAGTGTGCTGATCTTAAAGGTGCATTGAAAAATTTGATACTCCGACTGATGCTCCTCTTGTTGTGGAGTGACTCATGCAGCCAGCTATGGCTCTAGGGTTTGGTGTTACATGTTGTTTATGTCGTTTATTGTGAAAATTCGGTCACAGTTCCTATGATCACTGTTACATTACTTTTATGGTTTTATTTTGGTGATGTCGAAAACGTTTTTTGGTTTGGCCATGTTTGTTTGTTGTAGTACGGAGTTAGACTGATGGCCTTAATCTAAGTTGTCTTGTGGTTGTTGTTGTTGTTTGACTTGCATACCACTGGGATTTTTGCACACAGCGTTGGTGTACGGTGCTTTTCAGGAATATTTTGCTGTTTTTCCTGGATTTTCTGTTTGCACAGTCGCATAGTCACTTTAAGATGTTTTCTTGTTCATGTTTTTGTTCTTGTTTGTTTGTTGCGGTTTCACCCGATTCAAGAGCCAAATGGCTCACAGGACAACACCAAATAAATGAAACTGAAAACCGCCAGCGAGGGGTGTTGGGGGTGTTGGGTGGGTGGGTCTGGGTGTGTGGGTGGGTGTGGGTGGGTGGTGGGGGCTCACCTTGAGGCAGTGGTAGGTGGCGTTGGCCACGCAGGGCAGCTCCTTGTTGGGCCACCCGTCGAGGTCTATGTCCTCGCCGCACACGAAGCCGTTGCCGGCGAACCCCGTCTTGCACTCGCAGCGGAACACGAGCTCCGTGTGCACGCCCAGGTACACGCAGTCCGCGTCCACGTGGCAATTATGGCTCCCGTCCTCGCATGGGTTCTTAGGCTCGCACACCTGAGACACGGGGACGGGGGGGTGCAGGGCGAGGGGGGGGGGAGTGTCTCACGCAGGGCAGACGGTCCCGGATGCCCGGCGATGGTGGCCCGGGCAGTGTGTACGTACGTTTAACTTCTTTCGCACTGTACGTAGCCAACCGCGCTAATCGGAGATGCGGGGGTAGGACAACAAACTTAACACAAAAAGTATGCCACGTGAGGCCACCCCCTAATTCATTTATTCATTCGCGAAAACAATTATTGCGGCTTTCTTTTGTGTAAGGACCCCCCCCCTGAGTGGCTCTGACATTTGTACGATGCAAGACCCACTCCCGAAGAAGTCACTCATTTGAGGCTGAGTCAACCTAGGGGAGGCCCAGTAGTGGTTAAAATATATTCGTCACTGGTGTTGGCCGTGAGCGGGAATTGAACTGGTGTCACCGGGTTCGTACCGATCCCCCAACACAAAGACAAATATCCCCCGGAAAGCCTTAACAGGCTGTTGGGGAAAGTGCTCTAAACGAGCAGCACCATTGAACGCTGGCATGGCACATGCCCAACAAAGACAAAGATCACCCGCAGAGCCTTAACAGGCTGTTGGGGCAAGTGCTGTTCTCTAGCAGCACCTATGAAGGCCGGCACGGCACACGCCCAACTGCCACACGCACGCAGAGGGGCACGAGCGGCTAGCCCCGGGGAGGGGGGGGGGGGGGTGGTCGATTGAGGGGGGGGGGGTGGGTGGCTACCTGCTTATTGGTCTTTGCGTCCTCCAGCCCGAGACCCTGGGGCTGGGTGCCCGAGTAGCGCGGGGGGCACGGGAGGCACTTGAATCCCGGTTCCAGGTTGGTGCAGCGCGACGCACTCGTCGTCGAGAAGCAGACATCCGGCACCTCCGTGCACTGTCGGCAGGAGAGAGAGAGGGAGAGAGAGCGGCAGCGGCGGCGTGGTCAGGTGGGAATGCGAAGCTGAAGCCGTCGGGAGACAGCGGCCGGGGGTTTTGCCGAGTCACTTCCTTCGCGCCGTACGTAGCCGACCGAGATGATCGGAGGCGCACGAGCGGGGGCGGGTGGGAGGGAAAGGACAACAAATTGAACGCAAGAAAGCACTCCTGAAGACAAGGGGTTTCCATTCTAGATGATTTTAAAATGCAGAGCTCCAGTGGCTTTTCAAAGAAGATTGTTGTTATTATTATTATTACTTATTGCAAGGGGCGAGGTGGGGTAGTTTTCACGGGATGAGCAACTCACCTCATATTCTTGGTTCTTTCGGTAAAGTCACGTGGATAGAAAATAAAAAATAAAATGTAAAAATAATCAAAAATAATTATCCCTGCCTGATGAAGACCGCTTGTGTTGCGATCGAAACGTCGTGGGTATTTTGCTTTCGTTGTTTAAATAGAAAAAAAAATAACCTACGTGACATTACCCGAAAGAACCAAGAATGTGAATTCCTGCGGTCACGAAAGTTTCAAGTCAAAATTCAACTCACCTCGTCGATGTCCTCGCAGTGCAGGCCATCGCCACGGTAACCGAGCGGGCAGGCGCCGCACTTCCACGAGCCGTCCACGAAGCTGATGCACGTGCTTCCCGCGAAGCACGGGTTGGAGAGGCAGCCGTCTTGCGTGGGGGGAAAAAAAAAGTCTCGCGTCAGCCAGGCTCGGCGAGTCGCAGATAATTATGATGATGGCAATCTGTAACCGGCCGGTCGTCGGCACAGCGGAATGTTTCACGGTCGAGCGAAGTCCGCGGCCTTTGCCACGTGGTTTTCACCCAATGGTCGAACTGCACGGGTAATTTTCAAACTTGGCCACATTTTTGACGCCGGAACATAACGGGGCTCCCCTTTGGGTTAGATCGCGTAAATACATAAATGCGTCGTTAAACCCGCCACCACCCGACACAGCCAATCAGTAAGGTTTGTCACGTAAACAGAACATGCCAATTCGTTACTTGTACAGCACGAGTGATAAGTGTAGTGTATAGTGTAGTGTATAGTAGTGTATAGTGTAGCGTATAGTATAGGGTACTAGTACAGCACACCGGTGTGCTGGAGAGCCAAGCCACAAACATTTACAATCTGAGTACGACGTTTCGTCAGTAATTACAACTAGCTTCATCAGGCGACAGCCAAATATGGCTGCTGCCTGATGATGTGTCGCCTGGTGGCGGGTTTAACGACACATTTATATATTTAAGCGCTCTAACCCAAACATAAAAAAATAAACCTGTGTTATTGATATTAGGGCTGCCTTTGGTATTCGATCAACTTCACGGGATTCTTCGAAAGCCACCTTTGTGGCAGACGGCGGGAATGTATTTGGTCCACACACCCGCAGGCATTAAACGGGGCGCCCGCCCGGTGCCGAACCGCGAACCTCCGCAAACCCAGCGGCAAAAGCGCTGCCGCTCGGGACGCGTCACCGCCTGCCAAGCAGTAGGCGTTTGACAAACTACGGCGGAGTGCGCAGCAGTGCATATGTGGACAAGGTGAAGAGAAAGGGAGTGGTGGATCGCAGGCCATCCATCATCCGTCCGTCCGGCTCTCCATCCAAAGAAATGGGATGGGTGTAAGCGAAACAACGTGGGAACTCAACTAAAACTAAATGATACTATTTTTTTTATTTTACCAGGTAAGGCCCACTGAGCTATATAGCTCTTTGTCAGAATTGACCTGGCCACAAACGATAGCTCAACGAAGTGGCTTATGTGGAAATGTATAGCAACTAAATACTCTAAACGCACGTCCATTTTAAATGTAGAGGGAAAAACCGGAGTGCCCAGAGAAAAATCCACGGGACCACGGGGAGAGAGAGAGAGACACGCAAACTCCAAATATACAACAGGCATCAGGGTCGGGATCGAACCCACGACCTCCGGCACACCAGGCGATGTAGTTAACATCTCCGAGCCACCGTGGCGACGAGGGCAGAGACGACGAGACGGGAGACGAGCGGCGAGAAGGGCGAAGCCGCCCGGCGCGTCTCACCGATGGGACAGTCCTGGGTGTTGCAGACGCCGGTGTCGGAGCTGAGTCCCACGCAGCGCCGCCCGCCGTGCTTGGGCTCGGGGTTGTTGCAGAGGCGCAGGCGCGTCCGCGAGCCCCCGGCGCAGGTCACGGAGCACGTCGACCACAGAGACCAGGGGCCCCACTGCCCGTCCACTTAGACACGGGTAACGCGCGGGGGGAGGAGGAGTGGGGGGGAGGGGGTGGGCGGAGACACGTGAGACGTGTGCCAAGGACACGGGGTACGCACGGAGGCACACGATGTCTCACAGGGACACGCGGGAAGGCGCGGGGAAGACAGGGAAGGCATGAGACGTGTGCCAGGGACACGGGGGACGCACGGGGTAAACACGAGACGCACGAGTCACGCAAGACGACACCAGGGCACACGGGGATGGTTTGGGGGCACGCCGAGGCGTGTGCAAAGACGTGAGGCGTGCGAGACGTGCGGAGGGTTCGTTGAGCACGTGGGCTTCTGATTCGGTGCGTTCAGGCGTGGCCCTCGGTTAGGACAAAAGGTCGCATCTCAATCTGCTGCACAGACAAGGTTGGATGTGCAGTTGATGGGTACCGCCAAAGACACGGAGAGAGAGAGAGAGGTTTTGTTTCTCTAGGTGTTGCAGCTGGTGCACATGACGTGGCAGATGAGCAGCAACACAGAGGTACGGGGGGGGGTAAGGTGTGATTTGTAGTTCGTGTGCAGGTACTACAAGCATTTTTGCATCTCAGGATCGTGAGACCCGGCAACGGCTGATTGGGGGGTGGGGGGGGGGAGGCTTTCAATCCAGCAGTGGATTGATCATGGCTGATATGACGACGACGAAGGTTTGAGCCAAGGCATTTCCCAGGGAAGAGAAGCGCGTTCGTGGTCCGTGGAGACAAGTACCGGCGCTGACCGCGGAATTGTACGAGCAGGGGAATCTCAGCTGTGCGAGCGGCTAAAGAGGAGAGACACCCGGAAAGACGAGCGACCTCGCCCACAGCCGAGCGTAGCCATCGACGACGGAAAGGTCGCGGGATCACCGGAGCAGTTTGGGGGGGGGGGAGGGGGAGGGGGGGGCGGGGAGATCAGAGCGAGACGGTCGTTCTCGGCGCCCGCTCACCGGGGCAGGGCATGAGATTGCACTCCCTGGTGTCGCGCCCACTGCCCGCGCAGTCCTCGCCGCCCAGCTGCGGCGTCGGGGAGTTGCAGAGCCGCATGCGCGTGCTGGAGCCCACGCCGCACGTCGCCGAGCACGAAGACCACGGCGACCAGTGGCTCCAGCCGCCGTCCTGGCGGACTGGCGCACGCCACGCGTGGAGAGGAGGAGGAGGAGGGTGGTGGTGGTGGTGGTGGTGGGGCGGGGGGGACGAAAGAAGTTCAACGCACGTGCGGTCGTGTTCTCCTGTGACGCCGCGCGGTGTTTTCATGACGCAGATTGTGTGTATATAGTCAACGCGCTGAATGTACTAGGGAACACGTTTTAGTTTTTTTTTATATATATATAACGCGGATGTGAATGTGGTATAACGCGGTCGAGTGAATGGAACGACATCACGCGAGTATGAATAAGCAGTTGTACGGCTGCCTCGGCGTAGCATCACACAAGGTGGGATGCTGCTGGATGCTTCTAGATGCTACCCACGTGCTTCGGTCTTTGTTCGGCCTGCATACGCACCGCACGGTGTTATCGCGGACTGTGCTTTACCCTACATCGTATATTGTTCACTATAACTAGATTTTCCCAGAAGGCGATGTTCTTCAGAAACGCAACGAGCACGTTATAGGCGAACAGACTGTACATACGTACAGACGAACGCACGCGCATCAAGCTTCGCGCGGCTCGGTGATCGGGATCGATGCTCGGCGGAGGTTAGAGCCGCGGATCACCGTGGTTAGCTTTGGCGGCAGTCGGCGCAGGCAATCTATATACGTAGGCATGTTGAACCTCTTTCGCAATGGTTCGTAGCCAACCGTGCTAATCGGATGTGGTGGCACGTGCGTGCGTGCGAGCGTGACTCACTGCGCCCGTCTCACTCGCGCTGGTGGCGCGTGCGTCCCACTAACGCTGGTGGCACGTGTGTGCTTCTCACTCAGGCTGGTGGCACGTGCGTGCTTCTCACTCAGGCTGGTGGCACGTGTGTGCTTCTCACTCAGGCTGGTGGCACGTGCGTGCTTCTCACTCAGGCTGGTGGCACGTGCGCGCTTCTCACTCAGGCTGGTGGCACGTGTGTGCTTCTCACTCAGGCTGGTGGCACGTGCGCGCTTCTCACTCAGGCTGGTGGCACGTGCGTGCTTCTCACTCAGGCTGGTGGCACGTGCGCGCTTCTCACTCAGGCTGGTGGCACGTGTGTGCTTCTCACTCAGGCTGGTGGCACGTGTGTGCTTCTCACTCAGGCTGGTGGCACGTGCGCGCTTCTCACTCAGGCTGGTGGCACGTGTGTGCTTCTCACTCAGGCTGGTGGCACGTGCGCGCTTCTCACTCAGGCTGGTGGCACGTGCGCGCTTCTCACACAGGCTGGTGGCACGTGCGTGCGTGCGTGACTCACTGCGCTTATCGCACTCGCGCTGGTGGCACGTGCGCGTCTGGATGGACGGGCCCTGGCACTCGTGCTTGATGCGGTCGCACGAGCGGCCGCGCTGCTGCAGCCCGCGCCCGCAAGACACAGTGCACGACGTCCACTCGGACCACGGCGACCAGCCCTCCTCCAGCACTGCCATGGCAACAAAGGAGGCATGGTGTGTGGTGGTGGGGGGGGGGGGCAGGGGACACAGAGGGGGGCACGGGGAGGTTGGTGAAGGGTTAGACGCGTTGATAAGATTTGCAGGTTGCATCAATGGATGGCATCCTGGTTTTGATCTGACCCTCATTGACTCTTTGCATGTGCCCAACTTGCTTCAACCACGCTCAGATTCGGGTTCTCCCTTGACTTTTCATGCTAAAGTTGGCTAATCTGTATCCATTCTATACAATATCTATTTACAAACAGTATATACATTACATCGGCCCATTGACAATCTCCGATGATGTATCTACTTTAACGGCAGAGGCAAGACGGGCCACACCGTCCGGAACGTTGCCGATCGTGAAATGTTTTTGTTCGGGCAGCCTTCATTGAACAAACGCGGTGGGATTTTTGTTTTTGTCCGTCGCTTGTGCTTTTGCGCAGCTCCACCAACGTCTTGTGTCGTTGTCTGTTGTTGTTGTATGTTGTTGTTGTTATTGAACTCTTGAGGATTTCACGGTTTCGATCCCTGAGACGTGGAACCGCGTTGGCCAGGCGCACATTGCAACCCCACCCCCCCCGCTTCCTCCCCCCCCCCCCTTAGTCTGTCCACTAGACGACGCTGCAAAGGCCGCGATTGTACAAAAAAGAAACCACGTGTCAGATTGTCACCGCTCGATTTGGCCTACTATCCCACAGCTCTTTTTAAAGAGGATGATTTGGCAAGTAAATGTAACGATTCGGTTCGTAGCGTGCTCCTCTGCCGCCAGCTTATCCAAACAACAAAAAACACCCATGACGGCACCCTTGAGTCAACAGCGTGTGTTGCTTTATGGGGAGTTGAACCCACCCCCCCCCCCCCCAATACACGTGTCTCAGCAATTGATTGCGCGTGGCTTTCGTAAAACGTAACGGTGCAAACGTTGTGCGGACGAAAGGGCGCTGACCACGTGGCAAATCGGCCCTCCTGTTGGCGCGCCCCCTTTGCAAATTGTAACGGGCGCGAAGAGTCCTCGGAAAGTGGGGAAAAAGGCGTCGTCTCGTTGTGCCGATAACAACTTCAGGGTTTTTTTTTGTCTGTGTGTTTGTTTGTGTTCAATGTTGTTGTCCTTCAACCCCCTACCCCTCCCTCCGGCACCTCCGATTAGCACGGTTTGGCTACGTACGGTGCGAAAGAAGTTCAACATATATACGTATGGGGAGGTCGTGGGTCCGATCCCGACCCGGAGGCTTGCTATATATTTCAAGCTTGCATGTTCTCCCCGCGGTCACGTGTTTTTTTTCTCTTTCCCAAAATCGTTTCCGTCACTTTTTTTTTAAATGATGCAACTGATGGGTGGCCAGAACGACAGCCAGGACGGGACGACTTCGAATTGATTACCCACGGGCCTGTGGATTCATGTCACGCCGTTATATATATGTAGGTCATTGGCAAAATGTGTGCTTTATACGGTGACTTCATCGAGAGATGGCTTGCGCCCACGCATGATGTCATGCGTGGTGGGAAGGGTTAGAGCTGGTGGGTTTTGCCATCCGCTTAGAATAGCAAATGGCGAAGTGCGTAGCAATCCCCCCTCATCCCCGAGAAATGTAAATAGGCGTCTGCAGGAGTTGGGGCTTTGGCTGAGTGCCCGGGTATCCCAGTGGCTATAGGCGAGCAGCGCTGGGCTCACAGTCAATATATAATTGTCCGCACGCTTTTATTTGATCGCATGCAGAGCCAGCGGGCTTCACATTCGCCGCAGCCCAACGCTTCGTATTTTGAGGGGCCACTCTGTGCGAGTCTGTTGAGTCTCTATTCGAGTCTAACGGGTCTCGATGTAAAGCTATAAGTCTCGATGTGAACCTATGGGTCTCTAAGTCTATCGGTGTCCGTGTGAATCTAATGATTTCTCATTGAGTTTATGGGTCTCTATTCGTGTCCACACAGCAACAGTCCACCACACATCAATTGGAGCTGTTCCCTAGCTAGCTATGGTCCAGACATACATATTAGTTGCTATCGTCCAGCCATACGCAAGAGCAAGACGAACGCCCCATTTGTTTAGAAACGTGCGTTCAGAGTATTTGGCTGCTGCTATAAATTTCCACGTGAATGGCAACTTCCTTGAGCTATCATTTGTGATAGACAGGGTCGCGTCTGAAAAAGAAAATAGAGCTATACTGTCTTGCTCAGTGGGCCTCACCTGGTAAAATTTTAAAAAATAGTTTAGTTCTTTCGAGTGTGGAATTCATCACCAGTGGCTCCACGCCGTCGTTTGCAAAACGCTGTGAAAGGGTCACGCTCTCTCCGTTATCTTTTGCCGTCAGTTCACATTCATTAAAAAAAACAGGACGGGGGGCGGGGTGAGGAAAATAAATTTGCCTGGGAAAAACTCGATCGCAACATTTCACGGTGGCGGAAATTCCTTGGCCAGAAGGGCAGGCGCGTTCGCTCCCTCGCCGCTCACCAAACACCGCTGCGAGTGAGTTATACGCGACTGGGATTCTCTACCAGAAATCTGGGATTCATTCTGACCGCCAAAAAACGTTCGAAAGGCTAAAACCCCTTTTGAACTTGGACCTCCGGAAGGCCTCCACATCCGCCTGCAGGGGGTTAGGGTGAGCCGTTGCAGGAAATATCACGGACTGCGCAGGGGCAATTATTGTTTTTGGGGGTTAATTTCCCCGCCTTTCTCCTCCCAATTGCAAACTCCGGTCATCCTCGCAGCAGCAGATGTTGGCTCGCCATCGCACAAAGGCGGTCACCGCATCGCGCGCTTCCAGGTGCACTTGTGCGGCAGTCTGCAACGCTTTTACTTCCGATATTAGGAAGCCAGTGGGAGCTTTGCACTTTAAAATCATCATCTAGATTGAAAACTCATTTCTTTAGAACTGATTTTCGTGTGTTAGTTTGTTATCCTTCCCCCACACCTCCGATTAGCACGGTTGGCTACGTACAGTGTGAAATAAGTTCAACATACATGCATGCATGCATGCATACGTACATTGCGAAATTGGCATCATCCTTTCATATCTCTCACAGAGCAGTCAGTGCGACCCTTAGTGCTGGAGAACGGCCCGCGGAAGCGGACACCACAGAGCTACCTCTGAGATCCCTTCAACTGATTGACCTCCCGTCTACGCGACACCACCGGGCAGCATTCTCCCACTCTCTCTGCGTACAAAGAGGAAAGTTCATCGCGTGGCAGCCAACCCGATACTTTAATTCTCAGAAGCTGGAGTTCAGTCAAATTAAGGGCAGAACCCAAACCTAATGTGATGGGGGTTTTTATTTTTTTTTATTTTCACGCAGTCATTAGCGACTGGACCAAACCCATCCCTCACCCTCTGCACTTGAGGACCCGGTTCAAATCCCAGGAGGAGGAGGAAGCGGTGGTGAAACCTCGATTCGACCCCAGGATTCTCAGCAGTGGTGGCTCAATGCTCTGACCTCTGACCTCTGAGCCATCCGGCCGTCTCCACACGTGGGGGGGGGGGGGGTGCTTAATACCCTCACTCCTCCCCCCCCCCCCCCCCCCAATGCTCCGATTGGCCGCAGACTCACCGTAGCACGTTGGGCAGCACTCGCCCTCCGGCGTGGTCGCGTTGTTGCACGAAACCTCTTGGCAGCTGATTTGCCGGCAAAATGTCACGGATTCCTGGGGGGGGGGGGGTAGGGGAGCGGTGGGGGAGAAGTGAGGAGCGTTCACACGTGGTTGGGAGGCATCGCCGGCGATCGCGAGGAATGTGGCTCTGTTACGCACGACTGAATACGAGCGAAAAAGGTGGGCTGAAAATAAATAAATGTAAAAGATAGGCAAGCAGAGGTGAAGTCAAAAGCCAAAGTTGGCTTGAGTCTAAGCTGCTCGAAGGCACGCGTAGCAGAGTTTACCTCTGTTGTCTCGGTCTCGAGACAATGGTGGAAATTCCACATTACTGTGGTCGGAGTGGATAGGAGTCAGTGGCGTGATGCTCTCCCGGCGTGTATTTGTCTCGTGAAACGTAAACAAGTTTAATTGTAAAAAAATATTGTTTTTACAAAACTCCCGCTATGTATATGCGTCAAAGAAGGCTGCCATGAAAAATAAAATAATTGAATAAGGGATGTTGTCCAAAACGTCTTTTCTGCTATGAGGGATCTCTCACCTACGAAGACGAGCCACCGACTATGGGTGTTGTTATTTGTGCTTTGCGTACCACTGCCAACGCAGCAGTGACAGAAGCGGCATCACCAATTAACTTTTATGTCGATGACAATCATGAGGACGACGACAACGATGATGATGACGATGATGATGGTCATAATGACGATGATGATGACAATAATCATGATGATGATGACGACGACGATGATGATGATGATGGTCATGATGACGATGATGATGACAATGATGATGATGATGACGATGATGATGATGACGACGACGATGATGATGACGACGATGATCATGATGACGATCATAACGATAATGATCACGACGATAATCATGACGACGATGACCATGATGATGACCGTACCTCGCATGTGCAGGACGTGCAGGTGTCCACCGTCCAGTTGGTGCCGTTGGCAAACTGCGTTCCCTCGAAGTGGCACTCGCCTTTCTTGTTGAAGCCAATCCCCTTGCTGATGAAGTCCGTCTGGTTTCTCTACGCCCACGAAAATCACGAGCGGCAGCATCGTTCACGCGTCAGAGGACGGTGGCACACACGCAGGGGTGGGGGGGGGGGGGGGTGGGGGCACTCGGCGGCTTTGGCGGCGGAGGAGGCCGTGGCGTAGCTCTCGCAGAGTAACCCAATCCGCGCCACGGTCTCCATAGTTGCCAAACTGCGAGGCTCCATCTTCGTCGGCCTCCGCCCTCGTCGTACGCACGGTGGATTGGCGCTCGTGTCTTGGGTCATTATGAGGACATCATAGCTGTCTGACGTTCCTATGACGGGAGCCGGAATACCGGCAGGCTGACCACTTGTGACTTGGCACAATTTTGGCATTGGGTGGCACTTAATCCACCTCTAAAAGGGGCCTCCGATATCTGAGGTTTGGAGGCAAACGTTTCCTCCTCTGTGGTAAATACCAACGCCGTTGGTGAATACCAACGCCTCCGATCAGCACGGGTGGCTGCGTACGGCGCAAAAGAAGTTCAGCACACGTGCAGACATAATTAGAGACAGGGCCGGCACGATGACCGCGTGGGCCACTCCACAATCAGATTATTTCCAGAGTCAAAATATTAACTTAGAACCGAAGGAATCCGACATGATGTCCACTCACCACATCGTCGAATCCGCTCACTAACGTGGTGACCGCCCTCTGAATGCCACGGAGCTCCCGGACCATCTCCGACACGGCGTTGCAGGACATGTCGCACTGGTCGCCCAAACCCCCGAGCTGCGGGCTCATAAAGTTCAGCTTGTTTCCTGCCAGCACCGCTGCGGAAGTGGGGGGAGGTGATGCAACGTCAGCCTCATGTCCACAGTAATTAACAGAGTCATTCACATGCTCAAAGCGTCCCATGACGCTGTACATTGATTCTACGTAAGGACCGAATCACATGCACATCCGCTTACCGAGCAAAACGAAAACGCCACTATCGGGCAAAATGAATGGCGCTAAAACAGCAGCAAACTGGTTATGACGGCAAAACAATGAGTCCATTAGATCTCAACACATCCCAGACCACGATCTCAGCTTCTCAACCAAAACCAAGAAACCTTCACCTCGTCCATCAATCATTATCATCATCATCACGCTGACCTCTTCTCCGTTGCCCATTCTCTTCCTGTTCCCTCACCCCACACCACTCCTTCCCGTCCCTCCCCTATAGCCCTTTCGTGATCCCTAAGTAACCCCTCGATCGCTGTCACTCATTCCTCGATCCTTGTGCTGCACCTGCCAACTACATCATTCCATTCGGTCATCGGTTCGTAAGCTCTGTCAAGTGCCTTGAGTGAAGGCGCTAGAAACATAATATTACGCCACAGTTGTGATCCTGTACATATATATAACAATCCAGTGTTGTTCTGCTATATTTGTTTTGGCAAGTAAACTTAAACAGGTACATTTGCTGGATTAAATCAATCTCTGCTGGATAATGTTGGTCCGGAAAGCCGATAGGCCAACGGAGTAGAAGATATTTGTTCACATTTGTGCAGACAGAGAGCGGAGTTCTGCTTATATTTTCTTCTATCCATAACGACGCATAATGAGTTCGCAGAATACCGAGATAAAGTGCAACTTAGCATTGACATTTGTTTTTATCAACGATTGATTTCTTAACAGCTTAGATTTTTGTTTTCATTATAATTTTATCATTTTAGATTAAAGATGGAGATGCCCTTTACTATCTTGGGAAAACTAAAAATGTGGGCCACCTTGTACATTTCGGCATATGCCACGCGTCGATGTCATTGTCCATTGTGCTTCGAACGTGTGTGAGATGTTTACAGACTTAAGCGCGCTCCGTGTGTCCACTCGATACTCCCCCAGTACAACTGGTTTAGCTCACGAGCGAGGTGAGGACGATCTTGAGTTAATGCTTGAGTGCGAAGTGAGGACGTTTCACTGCCGTTCAAGCCGAGTGGATCCTCGTGCGTGCAACGTTTACCAGAATGCGTCCCTTCATTCATCAGCATCATCATCTATTCACCAAGGTGAAGTTTGTTGCTCAGGGCAATAACTTCTTCCTAGCTCACGTCATGTACGTGTCTTCTCTAATCCACGTACAGTCCCCGTGTTGCAATCTGGCCAGGTGGCTCAGCGGCGGGAGTTGTGAGCCCAAACCCTGCTCGGATAACATTCGGAATAAATAAGTAAATAAATGGGAAAAAATTAGCATTTTGGCTTTTTTAAAGCACAATTTGGGATCTTGTTCCAAATTTGCAGATTGTTAGCGTGATGTGAAAATTGAACGCGCTAAGAAAAGTGAGGTTCCCCATTGCCACGTGACACAAGTTTTACCGGGAAAGACGCAAAAGTGATGTTAATATGTGATGAATTTTCTGTAATGTTATACTTTCGGATCAATCTTAGACAAAAACATGGTTGTGATTCAAACAAATTTCAAATATTAGGTCAGATTTTGAGATGTTTTTGATCTAATCCAAAAATCAGGAACGCACCTCAACCAAGTATATAGTGATCTATGCCATTTATATTATTTATATTGTGATCTATGTTTTTATAGCATCAGTCATTACAAAACCTGATCTCTACCACTCATAAGTCAATGATCAATCACCAACAAGAAGAAAATCAATCTTGATTAGAAGCTTTCGTGACTGCAGGATTTCATACTTTTAGGTTATTTCGGTAAAGTCAGGTGGATAGGAAAATATTTCATTTTATTTTATCCCCACCCCCTCGCCCCTTTGCGGCCTCCCCCCCCCCCCCCCCTCTGTATAATGCCTTGTCACAGAGGCACGTTTCTCTCTTTCACCTGAGGACGATCGCTTGTTGCTGCGATCGACACGTCGTGATCTATTATGTATTTATTTTCCTATCTACGTGACTTCACCGAAAGAACCTAAGAGTAAGAAAATACATTTCTATAGCTCCTAAAAAAGTAGGTTCCCATAGCCAATATAACGATCCATGTTTGTTTTTGCGTCAGGCCACGTGGCAGTTCAATGCCAACACTTTTGTGAGCAAGACCTCCACCACCCGACGATATCATCACATTTTGCAAACAGAATTTATACGGGGCCAATGCATCGATCAAATTCTGACCAATAAAGCTGCTCACCAGCGGCTGAAGACATCTCACGATCGAATTTCACTACCAGTGCATCGGCGACGATTTGCTCAGATCGCTTGGAGCATCTACGTCGGCGATGGAACTCGCGAATCGAGTCCCCATTGCCCTTTCAAATTCAACTTTGATCGCAGTGCGTTCCGCGGTCTCCCGAACGTACGCCAGCTGCGACCGCGAGGTGGAGGCCAACTGATGTTCGCCCCTTCCATAGCAACCGAAGGGAAACACAAACAGCAGCAACACACAAAAAAAAAACGAATTCCTTCGCAAGACCGCAGACCGCTCGACAGAGTCTGGCTTGCAACATCTCGCCGCACGAATGCAGCAGCGTCGCTTGGAGCGAAGTGCGTGGCTCGGAAAGGTGGTCGGACTGCATTGTGATGAGTTACAGGTCCAAACCAAAACCTTTCGCCTCCACCCCCTCCGCCCCCCCCGAGTGTGAACTAGGAAAGGAAAATTAAGAGGTGAAAGCGCAGCCCTGCACTTTGCAATGCGATCACCAACACTTTACCCCACCACACTCCACCTGTCGATCCATTAACCGCAGTGTAACCCAATTACGCCGCTGCGTCGACGGAGGCGGTGGAGGTGAGGGTGATGGGGGAGATTCAAGAAACCCGCGCCGTTGTTTCAACCACCGCGCTTCGAGAGATGGAATCGGGCCGGCGATCTCCGAATCGCAAATCCGGTGGTGCTGACCGCACCCCTCCGATTGGCAGTTGTTGGCTACGCGCGGTGCGAAAGAAGTTCACCATAACCACATATTTGTACCACCGTGCCAGCATCGTTTTTATGTGTGTGTGCGTGCGTATGTATTTATTGCACGAACTGGCGTCACGTCTTGGAAGGTCGGAATGCACAGTCTCCAGTTGTATTTTCGTATAAATTTCCAAAAATAATATACAGTAAACCTTATTGCCTGCCTATTGGCCTTTTAGCCAAGTAGTGTTTTTTTGTTCACAGTGGAAAAACAATAATGGCAATTCCAGACTTCACTTTTCTCCCGCTCGGGTTTCACAGAACACAGAGGTAGCGGCTTGGGCTGCCCGGTTGCATTGGCTCCTTGTGTCAAGGGTGACTCCAAAAAACGTAGACTTGACACATTCGTCATTAATGCCGCCCTACAGAGAAACAAATGTTTCACGCAACGGCCCTCCTTCAGCACGATGAGAGAGCCATTGCACGGTATGTTGGGGCTGTTCAACCACATTTCACCGCGATGATCAGCACAGATGGTTGAAGAGCTCAGGAGCCGTTCAGATATCATTCGACACTGATGCTAGCCGTGGCCAGAAGTCGAACTCCGATTCGTCGGACTTATGGTGCAGTGCGCTAACCACGATGCCATAACCTCTCCCCCCGGTGAGTTAATTATCCGCAGTGTAATTATAGTGCGTTGCTTAAATTTGCCATTTGCTCTTATTCCACGGGGCGGCATTGGCCACACTTCGTTAAAATAACGATGACGACCTTTCCAAGGCACGGATGGCAGCGTTTGTGTCCCACGCCATTTACATCCTGCCAAAAAAATATTGACTATCCTTCGATTAAAAAAAAAAAACGTTCTTCTATTTCTCAGATAAAATGTTGCCTCTTGCTCCTGAAGTAAATCAAAACAACCCTTCAAGCCTATGTGAGGCTACGCAGTGCACAGCTGTGATTGGGCCCGCAACCGACACACGGCAAAGGCGATATCTGTGTGAGATCTGTTATGGTGGACACACATCGAGTAAGACTCAACGAATCGCCAAAATACGAAAAAGCGGAGCAGTGCTAAAAAGTCGCCGCAGCATTGCAAAGGTGTCAACAGCTCTTTCCGCGACGCGCTATCGGGGTCGTCGGCACGGCGTCCGGCGTTTCGCTCCCACGCGCACGGAGGCTTCTTGAGGAACTGAATTTGGTTGTCTTCGTGAGCTCCATCGAAGCTCTGGGCACGTGGGGCGAAACGACGGACACCGTTTCCCTAACTTTCACGCGATGCAGCCCCAGAGCGCGACCGTTACAACTTCCTACACGTGGTGGCTATGAGATGTTAACTACCTCGCCTGGTATACAGGAGGTTCGTGAGTTCGACCCTGACCCTGACGCCTGCTGTATATTTTGAGTTTGCATTTCCCCTTGATCGTGCGGATTTTTCTCCGGGTCCTCCGGTTTTTAACTCCACATTCAGAATCAACATCACGTGTTTAGAGCATTCGGCTGCTACACATTTTCACGTGATGATAAGCCACTTCGTTGAGCTATCGTTTGTGACCAGGTCGCTTCTGAAAAATAGCTACATAGCTCAGTGGTCCTTACCTAGTAAAATAAAAAAGTGGTTTAGTTTAGATTTGTTGTCCCGAGGAATTAAATCCGCCACGTGAATTGTTTTTTTTTATTCTCAAAGGCAAGCAATGAGCTGCCATCAAAATTTCCGCATGGAAAATATATATAATTTTTGAAAGGGATGCTGCCACAATGTTGGAATGGTGCGCCGGGCTTAAAGGTCGGGCTAAAAGTAATTCTCCCAGCGCGGCAGTCGAAACAACGGTCAGAGGTTCTTAAATTCCCCCCCCCCCCCCCCGGGGGCCACCCCCTCCCCTCCTCGTGCCCCCTGCTTCTCCCCACCCAGCGGTCTAAATGGGGACACCGCAGGTCGATCGGTCGGTCGGTCGATCGGCAGGTGATGCGCGCGTAGTTGTGGTGGGGTAAAAGCGTGGGCACGCCCCAACTAAAGTCACGTGGGCACGCCCCAACTCTTCCAAGACGTCTGGCCGGCGTGGAATGTGTCAGCCAAAGTATCGTCCAGATGGCCCACCGTAGAGCTCCCTCTACAAGTGGTGGCTCTTCCGCCAGCGGTTTGACGGGCAAGAAATTGCGGGGCTGCACCTCTAACTTTGTGTTGGTTTTTTACGCGTGTCGGCGGTTTCAAATTTGATTTAAAAAAAAAACCTCTCTGTTGCATTTCTCTCAGTAGGTGGCGGTCGTGAAAAGAACGTTTTAATAGGTCGAGCACAAGTGCTGTATTTATTTGATAAAAAAAAATTGTCGGGCGCAATGTTAGCCTAAGGAAATACGTGCACCTCTGCCCAAACAAGCACGGGGCATGACTCACTGCCATTGGCAGCCCTGCGCCAGCAGCGTAAAATTCCACATTGCCATGGCGGCGGCCAGTATGCCCTGACAATGACCACTGTTGTAGACTGTCCACAGAGTGATACCCATTTTTATCCACCCTGTATTAATTTTGAATGATCTATATCGCCAAATCCAACGCAGCTATGGAATCTGACGCAAGGTGGACTTCATTGGCGAGGTTTGGTCGCATCAACACTTTGGCCATGATGACATCTGGATGTTGATCTGGGATGGTCGCCAGTTAAAATCCTGGTTGGGTGTTCACTCAGCCCATCGTCCCTCCGAGGCCGGTTAAACGGGTACCGCTTTGTGGGGAAGTCAATGGTGGTTGTCCTGTAAGTACGTATGTACGTACATATCTTGAACTTCTTTCGCACCGTGCATAGCCGACTACGCTAACCGGAGATGCGGTGGAGGGCGGCGGAGTGGATGGGGGGGGGGGGGGACCCGAGAGATAAATAAAGGATGCCCCTTGCTTACGTGTCCGCTGGGCGGCGGGGCAGCCCTTGCTTCGTAGGATGTCCTCCACCGTGGTGCCGAACACGAAGCGAACGTTTTGCAAGGCCCCCTTGAGAGCGCACGAGAGACGGGTTGCAGGGGAGACAAAACAAGGCCCGTGCGTTAACTCACAGCGCAATCGCCGGATATTAACACACACAGTCACTCTGCAAAAAAAAAACACACATCTCGGATGAACCATTGTATTGTAAGAATAATATAAAAAATGTATTTCAGGAAAATTCAAAGTGCGTTGTTGTTGTTGTTCGGAAAAATGGAAGGAACTGGAAAGAGAGGAAGACCTCACAGAGAATGGCTTGACGGGGACATCACAGGAGATGGATGCCAGAAAGATGTGGCCACTGCTTAAGCATATTGACACACGACAGAAAGTAAAGTGGGAACAAATGACGAAATGTGCAGTGGACACCTAGGGACCACCTGGCCATGGATCGTGATGATGAATAATGTCAATTTGTAAAGCGCGCAGTATCCACTCGCTCTCGAAGAGAGAGAGAGAGAGAGGTGGAATGCAGGCTGTGAGCCGGCGCCAGCGGTTCCCCAAGCTCTGAAGTCCTCGACGTGTTAATGTGTTACCGGCCAATGAATTAGCGTGCATACACGTGGGAGGAAATCGGAGCACCCTGGAGGAAATCCACGTGTGTGAGGGAACAACGCTATATCCCAAACGGATAGTCCACATTTTTGCTATACCGCATTCTCCCGGTTTAGCCAGGGTATGGCACTACCTCAACACGCACGTTAAGGGAGTTTCACAACCCATTTATGCGGTGATCCACCAACCCTAGATGCCTGCATAGTGCTGGATTACAGGCCACGTGCATAGCCACCGCTACCAGGCTATGTAATCAAACTGGTGCCAAAATCATGCTTAATTTAGCAGGGGTGATGATGATGATAATAACGATGATGATGATGATGATGTAAAAAGTCAATGTGTCTCATGACAAGTGGGCAAATTTTCACATTCCATTCGCGTAGGGCAATGAACTATCCCCATCACAATTCGGGTTGGATAGGCCATCTTAGCGTTGTTCTTTTTGCAATTCGCTGGAGGTACGGGTTTGGTAAATCGTGCAGATTTGTGAAACCTTCAAATCGGCTGACCTGACGGGTGGCCAGGAGACGATGGTATAGCAAACGGATTCTTGAATCCATCTGGTGTGCAGCCCTCGGGATTTCCCCCTTTACATGTGATTGGGTTTTCTCCAGGTACCTTCGGTTTCCTCCTCTATTAATGGAATTGACCAAATTTACCAATGCAGGACCCTCCTGAAAATGTTTTTATTTCGTTGAGGTTTCCGGTGAGATTTTTCCGTATAAATAAAAGGGCATCGCTATCGTGCTTAATTTATCTTCTCGAATATAATTCCAACTGTGCCGTTGGCTTCATGTCACGCGACGAATATATTTTGAGCCCTTGCGGAGCAGATCATAATCATCATCACCCCACGTTAGACAGCGGCTCGTGGAAGATGCTATCACAGAACTACATCTGGCATTCCCCTTCATGTGACCTGTTTTTATCGACGCATCACGAGGCACACCTTCTCACTCGCCCTGCCCAAGTGAGGCCATATCTGACAGTCAAACCACGATGTTTAACTCTAAGTAAGACAGAGCAGTGTCCGTCGGATGACAATCAGGCCAATACGTTTAATTGTCCGGGATGGAATTAATCCAAATCGAAGAAAACCCACACGTTTAATAAGGTTAGTCGACTGGACTGGGACAACCGTTAAGTCACTTTAATCACGGGCAGCTGAAACCGGCATCTCAGCGGTGCCGGCTCACAGTTTCTCATCCACGAGCATCCAAACCAACCTGGGTCTATCATCACCACCGCTGTCGCAGTGATGGCAGCGGTGGTGATGATGGCTCCCAGGTTGGCCTGGAAGTTATAATCAACATGCCCCCCTCCCCCCGGGGGTGATCATCATGACAGTGATCATAACCCCAGGCCAAAACCTTGGCACTATCATCACCACCGCCATCAATATTGTGACAGCCGATACCAGCCGGATAGCTTCAGCGGCCAAGCGGGTAACTCGACATCAGAATGTTGCAAATTCAATTCCTATTTTCCGGTTGACTCGGGGGGTGGGATGGGGTCAAAAAAATGAGTACCGCTTTTCTGGGGAATCCACCAGCGGTTGTCCTACGGATAGATTCGCCCCCCCCCCCCCCGCGTCATGGAAGCGAGCTCTTTACACCGGGGGGGGGGGGGGGCGGGGGTGGTGACCGAGCACCTGCCTCGACGTTCCCTCGAGCGTGAAACAAAAAGAAAAACGCTCCGAAGACCCTGCCCCTCCGACCCCGCCGCGCATCACCTTGAAGTCGTCGGCGTCCTTGAGGGCACCCTTGCCCAGCCGCAGCGCGTTCCCCTCGGCCGCGAGCTGCTCGAAGTTGAGACCCTCCAGGGTGAGCGTGTCGACGCGATCGCAGCCCACGTACAGCTCGGCGTCCTCGCCGGACACGTGCAGCGTCACGTTCTTCCACTGCGGCGTCGCCAGCTCCACCTCCTCGAAGGAGAAGACGCTCTGCTCGCCGTTCACCGCGTACGCCAGATCGAGCGTGTCGGCGCGCCCGTTCGAGATGATCTCGAAGAGGCGCGGCGACGTCCTCGCCAGGGGCCCGACGGACACGAGCGTGCCGGTGCTACGCTTCTCCTGTCGCAGCGTCGCCTGGAAGGTGAAGCCCTCGTCGCGGCGCAGCGCCTCCACGAGCTCCTCGAGGGGCTGGCCGGTCACCGCCGGGATCTTGGCCGCCTTGACGATCTTGAAGGCGGGGCCCCGCTCGGGCCCCTTGACTGGCTTCACGCCGGCATTGCTGCGGCTCAGCTTGGTGAGCTCGAAGAGGTCGAACGCTCTCATTCCGCCGCCGCTGCCTCCGCTGCCGCCGTTGTACTCTGGGAAGGGGGGGGGGGGAAGAGCGACCGCGTCGTGTTAGCGGGCACGGCACAGCGTGGATTTATAAAACAAACTATTTGAAAATAAATGTTTAAACCAGGTGAGTGAGGCCCCACTGAGCTGTACGGCTCTTTATCTTTTTTTTTCAGAAGCGACCCTGGCCATCGCCAATGATAGCTCAACGAAGTGCCTTGTCGTCGTCGCGTGGAAATGTGTGATGTTGATTCGAAATGTGGGGGGAGAAACCGCAGGAACCCAGAGAAAAATTCCACGCGACCACGGCGAAAACGTGCTAGCTCCAAATATAGAGCGGGCGTCAGAGTCAGCGTCGAACCCACGACCTCCTGTATACCAGGCGACGGAGTTCACATCTCGCCACCGTGGCGCCCACAAAGTAGAGGTGGTCAGCAGTGGCCATACCGCTGCTGGCAGAATGGCGATCGCTTGAGGGGACCCCAGAAGGTATTTTGTCTACTCTTTCACATTGACCAGGCGTCTTGAAAAGAAATGGGAGTAGCCATAGTTTACCCGTACTGCAAGCGGCCTGCTGATCAACTGACCTCAGGTGAACCCATTCGTAAAGCTGGGGTGGAAAGAGGCTGGGGGAAATTGCGAAATTTGCACTGATGTTTCAATTGCCATGCCAGAAGTTTTGGATTGAACCGGCGACCTCTTGGTTGCTGGACCAGCGTGCCTAACCATGACATCACAGCAGTATTTCACACTGGTATAGCTCTTTTTTATGGTGTAACAACTCGGACCGCATCTCAAGATGCTGCCACTGGCAGAGGGGGAAATAACGTTAAGCCTGGACTTGAACAAGAACAGAGAGTGGTGCAGGGAGTCGACAGCACGGCTAGCTGGAAGCAGAGTGGCAGCCGCTGACCAATCACGGTTGGTGCCACGGGGTAAACAAGCTCTAGAAACCGGGGTGCCACGGTGCCGAAATGTTAACTACCTCGGCGGGTATACTGGACGTCGTTGGTCCAATCCCAACCACTGACGCCTGTATATTTGGAGTTGGCGTGTCTCTCTCCCCGTAGTCACCCGGATTTTTCTCCGGGTCCTCCGGTTTTTCCTTCCACATTTAGAACCAACATCACGCGATTCGAGTGTTTGGCTGCTACAAATTTCCACGTGATAAGCCACTTCGTTGAGCTATCATTTGTGGCCAGGTCGCTTCTGAAACAGAGCTGTGTAGCTCAGTGGCCCTTACTTGGTAAAATAAAAGATTATGTTTAGTAAATGTTTTAATTGACCATTTTATAGAACAGAGGAGACATCAATCTCTCCGTGTATGTTGGAAGAAAAAAAATCTAAATTCACACGCAACTCATTTTAGCCTTGGCCAATGAACAAACTCAATTGGCCAGGTTCATAGCCAATGTGCCACCATGCCTCCTCCAACGATACACAATGTTGTAATAAGAGCAAAAATAGTGGTTACAGCATCTTGTCATAATGACTCGATATCCATTGCACTATTCTTCGCTTGTCTTCTTACATTGTGTGGCCAGCATGTGGGTGTGTGAGTCTGGTTTTCTTTAGCACTTCAATAAAACCATGCCTGGCAGTGTATGCGTGCCTCTGGCTTTTTGATCTGATGTCGCTCTCTGCTGTGAGGTCACAAAGCTCTTTATTAAATCAGGGAGCAGAGGTATGCAAAACGCTGCACGTTTTGACACTGTGCAGTTTGCACCCCAACGCTTGAAAACAGACGTCAAGGGTTTCTGGGCAGGGCACTTATATCCATAATTAGCCCGTGCTTAGCAGTGTAACAGGCACGTGTTTACAATAGCCAATAACTTGCACACCCCACTGCTGGCAAAAGGGCTTCCGCTAGAGAGAGAGAGAGAGCTCCATATAGAGACCCGCTAGAGTCTATATCAATGGTTCTTAATCATGCGGTGCAGGGTTAAGAATCTTGGGGGTACGAGATGCCTTTTGTGGGGGTGCGAGACATGGCCAGATTTTTTTTTTTAGAAGCTAAATAATCGAAACACAAATTAAGCACGGGCACGTAAGTACAACTAATTTGTTTCATCAAACCCTCTATGTATTTGTTAGCATTATTAAAAAATATATATATATACTTTTGTGAAACAAAGACGCGCAAGGCTGTAGTAAAGGCTAAAGAACCCTGGCCTAGAGGGTACTTGGCTTCCACTTCCACGCTGGGCAGATGTCTTGGAAGTGTTTCAAATGTCGAATTTTGAGCTAATAATAGAATCGAACGAGAGACATAGACTATGCGCAGATCTTGTCAGATTTCGGAAGTTAAGCAGGCTGAGCCAGGAAAGTGCTTCGGCAGCTGCCCTGCATAAAGCAGCTCTTCAAGGCTCCTGGGGGACTGCGTTTTGGCCAGCAGAGGGCGGTGCAGCAAAATCTATTGTTGTACTGTACTCCATTCCATCGTTTATGCTCCCCGACTTCGCCAACTCGCACTGGCCGGCATGGTGAAACATTGTCAAACTATCCACCATGAGACCCTCATCCAGCAGTGGATCCGGTCCTGAAGGTCAGTCTGCGAAAGTATCTAGCTACGCCCTTTTCACTCTGATACTGGACACAAAACTGTAGCTATGTTTGTATTATTACGTCATTTTTTTGTTCCCGCAATGGTATCCCGATTGTGCTATCGGCATATGGTGTCACGAGACGTAAACACATCCGCTTGGAACTCTCCCAAGGCTATTGCATCGCCACATCTGTGAAAACGATCCGCCGAAGAAGCTTTCAAGAAATGCTTCTGACATATACCATCAAGTGAAGGCTTATTCACACTCGGAGTGGCGGCGGGGGGGGTGAAGCACTTTCACACTCGCCCAGGTACACAGCGAGATATTCGTCAGACCAATGTGAATATTTAATTCATTTTCTTTCTACGTGACTTTACCGACAGAACCAAAGAGCGATGTGAATATGTTTTGTATCGTTATCCGAGCTGCAATGTTGCCAAATTGAATGCTTAACAAATTTGTAACGTCATACTTTTTGTTCTTGCTGTTGTTGTTCCCCAGTCATTGGTGACGGGGCTGACATCATCGGCTCACAACGCTCGACAGCCCGGTTTCATCACTGACGCCTGAAATTCCAGATTCGAACTTAGGTTCTCAGGGTTACCGGCTCAGCGCTCTGGCCTCCGAAATTAATTTGTATTGTGACCTCGTATTTATTTCGAGAATGAGCTCACCATATCCAACGGCGAGATTTCACGCTTCTACATCTAGCGGTTCGCCCTGGTTATTACCGACGGTTGTGTATTACAAAATAAATGGAATTTAATTTTACCAGGTAAGGCCCAACTGAGCTTTACGGCTTTTTTTCAGAAGTGACCTGGCCACAAATGATAGCTCAACGAAGTAGCTTTTCGCGTGGACATTTATAGGAGCCAAATACTCCGAACGACTGTTTCTAAATGTGAAAGAGGGAAACCCCGGAGGACCCGGAGAAAAATCCACGCGACCATGGGGAGAGAGAGAGAGAGACATGCAAACTCCAAATATACAGCAGGCGTCGGGATCGAACCCACGATTTGCATCTCACCACCGAGGCGCCCTGAAAATACGCGCCCGGTCTGCTTCATAGTGAACGTTAAAGATCCCGTGACGTCATTCGCAAGAGTTAAGCCCTCGTGGTGTGAAAAATGACCCGCAAATTACTCGTTTGGAATATACACATAGCAGTCATGCCCCCCCCTCCCACCCCCCTATTGCGAAAACTTGGCAGGACCCTGTTGAAAAGGAGCCATGAGACCTGGTGAGGCTTTCCTGGGTAAACAAGCGTAGACGTAATAATAACAACAATATGCCTACAACTTGATCGTGTTTGTGTTATGATCAGTAGCGTAACGAACGTGGGGGGCAGGCAGGGTGTGCCTTCCCCCCCCCCCCCCGGTGGCCAAAGCTACGAGTTGGTTTGCCCGCCTTGACAACCATCATGATATTTATATTCTTTGGATCTTTCGGTAAAGCCACGTAGATATATAGGAATATGAATTCCTGCAGTCTCGAAAGCTTTAAGTCACCATGAGATTTATTTTACAGCAAGTGTAAAAAAAAACATTTAAAACACGGTTTACATTTATATTTTTTCATGAAAATAGTTACATTTTTTTGCGTTCCACGTCTTGTTTATTTAAATGTTATCAGAGCAGTTTTGGGACCCCACCTGACCGATTTCCGTAACATGCCGTCCCCCCCCCCCGAGCTGATGATGTAGTAAATACGCCACTGGCTTTTGATGGTAACGAAGAAAGATAAAACTCAGTCAAATTCACGCCGGCTAAAATGTGACGCCGGCAGGCCCGACCAGTTCACGTAAATCACTCGCCAGCGATGTTCGCCGGGACCAGGAATCGAACGCAGGTGGCCGCGTTTCTCATCCAGCGCAGTGCGTTAACAACCACGCCATCGCTCCACCCTGACTTAAAAAAAAGGAATCCGTGAAAAGTATAACAATCATATCTCTTGGGGGCCAGTGGTTAGCGCAGAAGGCTCTAAACCCTGCCAGATGCGGGCGTTCCAACTCCTGACCGCGGCTAACATCAGTGAAGGAGCGGTATCTGAAGCGGTTTCTACCTCGTTTTCACTCCTCGCAAATCACGCACTTCCCCCCTTCATCCAGCAGTGGATCAACCTGACTTAATGTTACGGCGTTACGACGATGATGACAATGATGATGAAAATACATGTATGTATGTATGATGAACTTATTTCGCACCGTACTTAGCCAACCGCGATAATCGGACTGGCTTAAGGGGATCTATTCCGGAATGAATAATTCGGTGGTGATGCTGCTGCTGCTGCTACTGCTACGTTGGCAGTGGAACACAAGCAAAAAATACTATAACAAACAAAAAAATCTCAACACAGTGCTTACGGAGATAATTATATTTTTTTTCATGAACTAATTCATCAATTAATTATTCACTCACCGGCAACGGAGCCGGCACAACAGAACGAGAACAACCGACCCCGAGAGCGGGATGATGAACAAAGCCGCCCCGTAACACTACGATGATCAAAGAATGTGTACTGCAAAAGAAAGACGTCAACTCACCAAAGCCGTGAAGTCCGGTGATGTTGAGTAACACAAGTGCCACTACCGCCGGCCATCCTTTGAACAAACACATCTCTCCCCCCCCCTTACTCACTTCTTCGCTCTCGGCTTCCGAAGAAATGCTACACAAAAAATAACAGAAGCTGATCCGCTAACCGTGCCGACCACAGCCTAGCTACTACGTTCCTGACAGCGGCTGCGGCTGAAGGATTCACCGATCACTGCCGGGCAGCAACCCACTACGCACGAATAAATTAATATGCCCTCAAAAATTCTGCTCCTATGATCATAATAATAATAACTTAATTATGTTTTCCCGTACAACAAAAACCCAAGTGCTGTGTGTGTGTGTGTCTTGCGAAGTGTGCGGTGGGCTTGTGGATTTTTCACGAGATACGCTAAGAGGGTCTTGATCCTGACCAAATTGATGCGATAGGCTGCTGCTGCTGCTGCTCCGCGCGAACACACGCAACACAAAGTCCTCCACAATCCCTAAGCCACTCGCTGATGTGCTACGGATGTGTGGCAGCGACTGTGTCCTAAAGTTCGCGCAGCCAAAAGGACTCCGACAAATGCAAAGTCCAACTGTGAGTTGGGTCGAGACGCCCGCTGTATCTGAGGTCTCGCTGGGGGCCGGCTCGAATATATATTGTTCGTAGAGGGGACGAGCGGTGTACGTGTGTGGGGGGTAGGGGTGAGAGGGTGGGGGGAAGGGGAGGCAGCGATGGTTAGGGGAGGTGGGGGTGGTGGGGGTAATGATGGGGCGTGTATGGGCAATGATTTGCGTAATGCGTAGCTGGATTATTGTCTGGGAGGGGGGGGGGACTGAGTCCATTACGCATCGGTCTCCACCTTCCCGCTCTATCTTACTCGTTCAGACTGACTCATCTCCCGAAGGGGGGTCGGGGGGGGGGGCACTTGAACGCGATCCAGCAAGGGAATTGAGGGGGTGTCATTTTCAGAATGCGAATCATTATTGAAACTGGAGGAATCCGATGAGTTGTTAAGCTCTTTTTTTAAATTACGTCCCAATTTGTCATCCCCGTTTGTTCCGTGCTGGAAATTCCACATTTTTATGGCGTTTAGGCATGTCGTCTGTACGTTGAAGCTGTATCGACCCCAAACCCACTGCACCGAGCATTCTGCACAGTTGGCTACGTGCGGCGCGAAATAACTTCAACGTACATACGTTTAAGGATATTCTTTAAATGGATCACGTTGTGCAACAAAAATGCGTCCTTACTGAGTCGTAGCGCTGTTTTTCAAGAGGGCGCTGCTTGGACCATTTGACCAACACTCGCTTGCTTTCTCGTGGCTAGATGAAAGCAGGGTTCCTGAAGAAACCCCCCACCTGTGAGAGGAGGCTAGTCAGGACTGTGTACACACCTGCCCCACGTAAACGCGAGGAATGTAAAGCCTTATTTTACTCGGAAATAAAACACAAACGCATACCAATATTACAACCAGCCACCCATTGGAATGACTAAAATGTTCGTTTTGCGAGTGTGGAAAGATCCCTCCAGTGCCTGCTCGGGCGCAAGCGTCACAAGCCACAACCACACAGCCAACCACACGTCTAGAGCAGTGGTTCTTAGCCTGGGGTGCACGCTGCACGCCCTGGGGGTACGAGATGCCCTTTGTGTGGTTGCGAGACGTGGCCAGATTCTTTGAGAGGGTGAATCATCGAAACACGAATAAAGCGCGGGCACGTAAGTTACAACAACTTTGTTTCATCAAACCTGCGTATTTATTAACATTGTACATTGGTGTAACAATTGAGAACCAAAATGGGTTCAAGGCTGCAGTAAAGGTTAAGAAGCCACCGGTCTCGTGGGTGGCTTCTAAACATGGCCTGGGCCCACTCCTGGGTCAACTCGATGAAAAAAAAATTAAAAGCACAGTTCGATTTTCGGCCACGGATAACATCATTTGTCTTCAACCTTTATTTCGCCCCAGCCTTAACAGATCAACTCTTTGAAGTGTGGACATATCAGCACGTGGGGAGAGACAAAGGCGGCCTGGCGTAGTGTTGGCGGGTGAAGTGGCGGCCTGAATTGGTGCTCGCTCACATTTCTAGCCCCGAGTTTGTAAGGCGGATCTCTGTGTTCTGCGAGATGCCTGGGCAGAGAGCTCTCGTTCCGGACGAGTGAGATGAAGGTATTGCACATGTGTTTGCTTCGTATCTAGCTCGACTCAGCCTCAGATGGGTTCCTGGTGCGGCGTGTAAACATCGCCTGCTTGACAGACTGTTGGGGCAAGTGTACTGCTCGCGAGCACCTATGAAATAATACAACCTGATCACACTCACAGACACACACACACCTTACCGGATTATAAGACGTACCACAATTTTATTTTATATATATAACACACGGCCAGGGTTGAGAAGGGAGGGTGGATGATTATGAGGTATTTTACAATCTGCAGTATATAGCAAGGGCTAATTAACAACAAACAAAATTACCTTTAAGAGAAGAATTTACCGTTAAGAGGAAAAAAAAAACCCCCACATTAACCGCGCTCCCTTTCCATTGATTGTGCAACGCGGCTAAACGGATGCCTCCTGTCACCTGGCGGCGAACGTGACCATCGCATCGCCCTTTGACAGGGACTCTTTTGGGAGTTTGCCAGGGACCCTCGCCGAGCCGTGACAGCGCCGTCTTGTGGTAGCACCAAACAAAAACTCATTCGACACATTAATCAATAACTCTGCGCCGAAAGAAGGGAAATATCTATTAGAAACAACGTCTGGGGCAATGGTCCTGCTTGATAGCCGAAATATGCGTGCTATGAAAAATAACCATTGCCTAAAACGTCGCCTATATAATATATTTTCCCAACTTTTCGGGCAGTGGTATTGATAAATGCGTTCACTTTTTGTGTGTGGTTATTTGTGCTTGTGCACCACTCAAATAAAAAAAGTCAGGCATTTCCTACCCAGTGGACATTGCGGCATTGGTGCTAATCTCTTATTAACAGTCCTGAGCCAGTGGTGGAGATTCCGCGTTCCTGTGACGAGGGCGAATCTATCGGTAGGACAACCGCTGTTGACTTCCCGCGCACAGCGGTACTCGATTTATCGACCCCGGAGGGATGATGCGCCGAGTCCACCCTCAACCAGGAATTGAACTTGCAACCTTCCGAAAACTGGCCGCTCGCTCTACGGCTGCACTACCACCATTGCAGTTTCACAAACACACACACGCAATATATCGTGGGAGTGATTGCACAGATTCACTAAGAACATGGACACTTTTTCAGAATCGGGATCTTTATTTATACTGAAAGAATCCGATGAGCTATGAAGCTCTTTCTCACCGATGTCCGGTAGGGGCGGGTCAAAAGGTCACAACAATGAACAGTACAAAAACAAATGGCAGTGAAAATGTCCCTGTGCTGTCGGCATAATCACGCAGTGTGTGCTCAAATGCATGCACAACCGCTTTGTCAATCCACTGCTGGATGAGGGCCTCCCCATGCTACGTGGCTAGTAGTCGGGGTTGTATGACCTGGATGTTCAAAGAAGAGACGCGCATCCATCACCCAAATGTAAAGATTAAAGCTGGAAAAACAGTGGCTTATGCCTATGAACCCTGGCAACTCGAGTTGGAATCCGGGGCAAGGCTAACAACAGTGGCCGTTGATATCTGAACCGGTGCACGGCCACCGCCTTCGCTAACCCATAGTGACGGGCATAGTGAAGTATGGTCAAACGATCCCCATGACCGACACGGCATGGGGGAGACCTTCATCCACGAGCGGAGTGATCAAGGGCTGTAAAAAAAGAAAATTCTCCATTTCAAATTTTCACTTGCAATTAATTATACATTTTTCATTTCGGCAGGCTTTCAAATTGGTTACGAAGTTTATGCCAGAGCATGTTCATACCACGTGTCAATATTAAAAACGTGGTTGAGAGATATATATATATTTTCACAGCAGCAGCAACAACAACAAAAAAACCTTGAAACCGATAAATAACCTAACGTGTTGGCAATGCAATAAACTAAACACAGTATCGTAGCAACACCTGGTATTTGATTTTTTTATGTATATAATTTAAGGAGAAGTGGTGGTCGAGGATGAGTGACAGTTTCCATTGTGAGTCACATCGGCGCGCTCATTGCCACTCCAGTCTTGCCGAATTCCAGCGAAAACCACCTCTCTGACCACGCGTAGCATCGTCTGTCACCGATTCAGACATGTCGAATGCGAAAGGTGTATCACTCGGTATTTGTGTCCTCGGGACACTTTGCTCCAGACGCAAAATAATAAACGCGGCAGTGTCTGTTTATACGTACAGGTACTTCCGCTGCCATTGATCGCTTTGTGGAATTTAGTAGTCCGGTTCTATAAAAGGAATATTTAATAATTGTTTATTTGTATTTGACCAGGCAAGGCCCACTGAGCTATGTAGCTATTTTTCAGAAGCGACCTGGCCAACAAATGATAGCTCAACGAAGAGGCTTACCACGTGAATATGTATAGCAGCCAAATAATCCACACGCATGTTTATGAATGTGGAGGGACAAACCGGAGAAAAATCCACGCGACCACGGGGAGAGAGACACGAAAACTCCAAATATTCAGCAGGCGTCAGAGTCGGGATCGAACCCACGCCCTCCAGTATGTAAGTATGTTGAACTTTTGTTCGCACCGTACATAGCCAACCGTGCTAATTTAAGGCGCGGGGCAAGGGCAATAAACGAAACAGAAAAATTAACCAAACACTAAAACAAAGAATACACAACTGTTACCGAGTTGTGAATTGAATGTAGTGATGGAGTCGAGGGTGTGGATTGCTTCGTTGTTCCAGGAGTGTGGTGCTGTACATTAGTAACATCTGTCTGATATCAACTCGTTCACACTTGAGAACCCGGTTTAGTCACAGATGGCTTGCCTGGATTCAAATCTAGGCCCTCAGCAGTGCCAGCTCAGAGCCTTGCCCTCTCAATCAACCGGTCATCTCACCATCATCATTTTAGTTTTCTTTATTATCACCAATATTTGTGGTTTAATGGAGGTGAAAATTTTCATCCAATTACTAACAGCAACGAAAAAATCCCTCTACATATGTAAACAACCAACAATTGATGGTGCCACTGCCAAAAAAAAGAGGGAAAAATTGTAGGTTAGAATCGTGCCTCGCTCCTGTCTACGGACAGGACACTCAATGAATGAACAACAACAATACTCATCTGTGAATGAAAGTATGCGTAGCTGCAGAGCGCAAACACCGCGAATGGCCGGTGCAACCATTTCTCATGAACCTGCAGAAGATGCACGGCTAATGGAACTCTCCCGTCGCCGTCATGGGAGAACTCGCAGAGGGGACGCCCCGTTGATCAACGCAAACTATCGGCATTCTTCACGGGGGGTGGAGGGGTGGGAGTGGGGGTCTCGGTCTGTCCAGGGGGACTGGTCACATCCTTCAACTCGCGAACGAGCTGCGAACCCCGGCGACAGACAGAGCAATTTTTCTTTTATTTTACCCGGTAAGGCCCTACTTTGAATTACGTAACTCTTTTTTCAGAAGCGACCTGGATATCACAAATGATAGCTCAACAAAGTGGCTTATCGTGTGGACGTTTTTCTTTTTTAAAGAGCAGACAAATACTCAAGACGCATGTTTCTGAATATGGAGGGGGGAAAAAAA